TGCCCCAATAACAACCAATTTTAAGTGCTACATATTTATGATAAACTTTGACACCCAAAACTATAACTCTTCCAACTTTGTTGTAGTTCTCCTTTGAGATGATCTTTGCCATTCCTGTGATGGTCTTCACAATTTCATAAAAATTTTAGAATTAACTTGTTAATTTGAAAAAAAACTCTTGGAATTTTTTTGAGGAATTGCATTGACTCTGATAGATAAATTTGGAGAGAACTCAAATCTTATAATTTTGAATCTTTTATTCCATGAACATTTAATATTGTTCCATTTATGTATTTTTAATATTCTCAAAATGTCATTTGTTTTGTATAAATTTTACACATCTTTTGTTATATTTATTCCTAGGTGTTCTTATTTCTATGTATTATAAGTGGTTTTATTTATAAATTATTTTCATAATTTTTTATTGCTGGCTTACAGATGTTCAAATAATTTTTAAAGTGATATTTACTAAATTTACCTCCTTATTTTAATGTTTTAAATGTAGATTCTTTCGGTTTTCCTCAAACACAATCATGACTCTATAAGAAGTAACAATTTGGGTTTTTCTTTTTCAATCATCATACCTTTTAAATTTCTTTTTAATTCAAATTCATACTTTCTGGTCCCTTTCTATCAGTCTATGATGTTCTGTCCAGTTAGAAGAAATTAGTAGAAATACCCACTATGGATTTTCCATGGAAATATTTGAGCACATGAATAGTCTGTTTGGACTCTGGGATTAATAACTTCAAATCATTTTTCTGTTATATCCTTTTGGCAGAAAGTGCTCAGAATGTATTTATTGCTGAAACCACATTTAAAAAAATTTTTACCTGAGGATATGCTTGTTGATTTTAAAGAGAGGAGAAGGGAAGGAGAACAGAGAGGGAGAGAAACATGGAGGTGAGAGAGAAACATTGATTGGTTGCCTTTAGTATTGCCCTGCCCAGGGACCGAACTAGAAATCTAGGCATGTGCCCTGATCAGAAATTGAACCTGTGACCTTTCTTTTGGTTTGCAGGACAACACCCAACCAGCTGAGCCACACTGGCCATGGCTAAAGCCACATTTTAATTTAATTTAATTTTTAAATTTTTATTATAGTTTCCCCATTACCATTTAGTCCCCATATACTCCCTTCCCTGTCGCAATTTTCATACTGTTGTCCATGTACATAAGCCGTTTTTCCTTTTTGCTCAATCCCTCCACCCCTACCACACTTTAAAGTGTTACATATCTTCTGAAAGCTCGTGCTGGGAATTTATTACTGTGGAAAATAAGTTGGAACAGTGTTCTGGAGCCCTCAGTGCTTATTGGACAGATTTGGGGGGTTTACAGTTCCTTAATATGTTGTATTTTTTTCTGAAACCTGAAAAGTTAATGAATTTGACTTCTAAACATACTTCCAGCACTGAGTTTATCATTAATGTTATCTGTTTTCTTCAATCATTTGTTGAATACAATTTCAGTCATATATTGTCATCACAGGCGATACCATTTTGAATTCAAATTTGTGTTTCTAAATGCAAGTGTTTCTCAAGTGTGTAACCAAAAATTTCCCTTGGGTAAAAATTCAGATATTTTAAAGATATTTTAATAAAATCACAATTTGGTGCATTGATAAAGTTCCCTGGAGGACTTGGGATGTTTAAAGCAACAGTGTGATTGAAGAGAACAATAAATGCAGGGGTATTTTTTCTCTTTCTTTCTCATCTACTAGAAAAATATAGATAATAGAGCTCATTTATTTCCTTAACATTTCAGAGCTCTGCAGATGGGAAAACACAACCCAGTGGAAATTATTTCTGGCAACCTTGAGAAGATATGTTAGCATTTTGTGGCATTTCTTTTAGTGACATGTAAAGCATGGCTTTCCCTCATTGCAGTGTCACAGTGAAGTGTCACAATAAAGCCAAAATAGTGTGCCCTCAGGGAAAACTAGGAAAGGGACCATTTTCCATACACACAAAAAGGGTAATATTTATTATAAAGCCTTTCATTTTAGCTCCAAATGCTGCCAGGACCGCAGCTACTTTGCAATGGAGAAGTGCACAGAGTGTGAGATTTAAAGCAAATGTTATGTATAAATCTAATGTAATTTATGTAAATATAAATAATATGTAAAAAAGGAAAATGCACTTATGGACATAAAAGCATACATAAATCTGCACAGTGTGCCAGGGAGATAGTTTGTGATGTTGCACAACAGCAACATCAGCCTGATGTGGATGGAATCCAACGGGCTCTTACCTGGGAGTCAGAGCAGCTCTGTCTCAACCTATTTTTGTCCTTACCAGAAGATGTATTTTTTTTATCTACAACACGTGATATCAAAATTATTATCTTTGTTTGATGGATGAGGAATTTAGTCTTCCAAAATGTTCAATTATTTGTTACAGATTACACAGCTAATTACTTAAGGAACTTCATACACAGTATCAAATATATATATATATATATATTTTTTTTTTTTAAGCTAAATTTGTACTTTTGATAAAACCTTGTATTTCCCCTTTATCCTTACACACTTATTATTTGGACCCAAATACTAAACTTGATTTTTATTGCCATTAAATATCACTTCATTAGTTTCATTCTACTCCATACTATGGACCTTCTGGGGCCTTAATTACATTTTACAATGTGTTTTTCATTGCTGCAACTCAGTAGCATCTCCAGGGCTAATGAGCATCATATATATCTGCACCCTAAGCATTGGGCAATGCCCTGTGATAGGCAGCTTCTTTTCAGTTAGAGAGATGGCTGCTTATCCAGGTACTGCTTCACCCAGTTGTCAAATGCATATGGAAATAATCCAAATTCATTGTTCTGATTTGGCAACACACAGGAGAGAGCAAGAGCCTTGAGGCCTACAGCCTGGGATTCAAATATCAGCACCACCAACTACCAGATATGTGATTTGGGGAATGTAATTTGTCTTTATAAGTAAATGTAGATAATGATGTTAACAATACAAAGTTTGTAAGGGTCTTACAGGTAGTAGATGTGCAGTCTCATTAATCACTACAACCATCAAAGAAAGAAATTACATATTTCTGACTGACCAGTTCTTTTTATCCACCTCTTTCACCCCATTTCTTTGATCAGTGTTTCCAGTGCTGACAGATTTTCATCTTCATAAACTTTCTCAGCTTCTTTCTCAATACCAATGTTATGCTTCAATTGGTTTTTAGAATCCACTCACTTTTTCCTGGTTATTTTCTGAATGACATTTTTCAGGACCCTCTTTCATTTTATATAAACCTTCTTAGTTTGAGATAATGATTAGTGGTCTTATTTATATTTTTTCTGAACATCTTGGAAATTCACTTAATTTTGGACACTTTAACTACTTTAAGGAACTTGTGGAGCTCTTTTTACATAACTAGGAAGTTTATCTCCCCTCAATATGTTTATTCTGTCCCTCTTCCTTTGAAAGGTCCATCTTCTTGAAAAACAAGGCAAGTATAAGGGTAGTTCTCTGTCTCTGTTCTTGCTCTCATTATATCATGACCACATGTTATAGGCTGTTTTCCTCAACAAATTGGTAGGTCCAAGCTATGAAGTTTTTGTTCGCTTCAACCTTCTTGTAAAGGCATGTTTTTGCTCTCATAGTCATCTGGTTATATTCTCTTTTGCTCTATCTTCTGTACATAGTCACTTTAAATTTGGGCTCATCAGAGAAGTTTTGCGAAAACACATAAGTTTATTTAGGATCTACACTGTTCTCCTCCTCAGAAAAATTATAAATTCTCCAATTTTTAATTATTTTTTGAGAAATGTTTAACCCTCTTCAATAATCTTTCTTTCCAGAATCTTTTTTCTTAGAAGGAATACCATGATTTTTTCCTCTAAAGTTTTAATCTTCTAAATCCAAGGATTCTCGTATGACTATAATCAAATAATTGTCATGAATCAGCCATAATCTTTGCATTGATGTTTCTAAGAGGATAATTTAAGGCCTTTGTCTATTTAGTATTATTACTAAGTGCTTAATCATTTTTTAGTGATGGAGTAAGTAATACCATATTACTTTGAGTCTAGGGTTCTCTCTTCTGGATATTTTTACCTAAAGCTGTTACATTTTTATTCTTAGAACATTTAATAAATATCTCTCATAGACTTACTGTTTGCTAAAACCTCTTGTCTTCCTGAATCTTGCTTGCCAAGGCAATATGTGTCTTAACTTCAATACACAGGGTGATCTATATTAATTCTGAGTGAGCTGTATGTAGGAAATCTATTTTGAAAGGGCCCCCTTCAGGAACATTTTCAAATAAAACCATATGAGAATAGGAGTAAGAATAAATTGTAGTCCATTTTTGTGAAATCCAATCTTATTTCTTCTCCTTTTATATGTTTGTTCTGTTTGCCAAATGGGTAAGAATCAAAAGATGGAATGCCATGCAGCATCTTTTTGCTTTTGTGTGTGTGACTAGAAATGGGTTGATGAAATGTTCATAACTTGTCCTCTCGGTTTCTGCTCCTTTCTTTCAAGTCAAAGCTCAAGATGTGGCATCTCAAGTTGATGTGCAACTCTGGCAGAGATAAGCAGTTTGGATAGCAAACAACTATTGAAAAACCTCACAATTTATCCATACTGGACATTTTTTTTTGTATCCAGTGGTATATTTTTCACATTAGCTGTTTCTTAGGATTAGCAGACCAGTGCAAATCTTGTTTCATCCCTCCCTGGGTATTTAGTGTACTACCAAGCAAAGCACAGATTAACATATGCTTACTCAGGATTAAGGAAGATTTTTTTTTAACTCTTTTGATAGGCAGTAAAATAGAATCCACAGTCGATTCAATGGATGAGCTGGAGTTTTTGTGTGTGTGTGTGTTTGGTTTGGTTTGGGGTTTTTTGTGAGCGTGCCAACAAGAAATCCTAAACATTTAGTCCAAGGTTTCCACAGATTTTGGATTAGCGTCATGAATGTCAAAAGGCAAATAACAATAAACTATTTTACCGTGTTCTTAATTTGCCTCAATCACTATAGTGCTGCATATGATTGTTCCATGGCGAAGAAGAGGAGAGCTGAAGAGCAGGCCTTGGGTGTTCCTGTCAACAAAAGAAAATCCTTGCTGATGAAGCCCCGACACTACAGTCCAAACATGAATGGCAAGGAAGAGTGTGACTCCAGGACCGAGGCAGAGGAGGATGATGGCCTCCTGGAAATGGATGCTCACCCTAGCACAGGTAGCAAGGAGCAGCCCAAACTTATGTGAAACACCCAGCTTGTATGTTACAATTTAGGAACAAAATTAAACGTTCATTTCACTCACAATCCATTCTTTGAGGACTCACTTGTTTGATCCTTATTTGAGGATATATTTATTGATTTAGAGAGAGAGAGAAAGAGAGAGACACTCATTGCTTGCCTCCCAGACATGCCCCGACTGGGGATGGAAACTGCAAAGTAGGTAGTGCCCTGACAGGGGACTGAACCTGACACCATTTGGTGTGTGAGAGGATTCTCCAACCAACTGAGCTACTCAGTCAGGGCTATTGAGGGCTGATTTTTATGTGCAACTATGGAATGTCTAAAGACAAGCACCAGAGAGTCCTTTCTCTGAGTTTATTTTCAAGATGCAGGGTTGGACTCTGCCTTCTTTTGAAGAATGTAAAAGATACTAAGCCTTAAAGTTGAAGAATACCTTGACTCCTAAATAGGGTAGATGTCTAATGCTGAAGGAACCTTTCAAAATAAAAGGACAAATTTAAGCTTTAAGATTTTTAAGATATGACATACATGAATAAAACATCTGTTTTTATTTCATAAACATATATAGAATTATTTACTTATACTTGGTGATAACAACATGGACCAATGCATGTGAACAGTGACCTTAATATTTTCAACATTTTTAAAATAAATATTTATAACAGTAGACTGCAGAAGGGACCTAAACTTGTCAGTCAGGATCTCCTTCCATAAAAAAATGATATGTTATAGAAAATGTATCACTATGCCCATTATTTTCAAAATAAATCATTTTAATTTACTTATAAGCACACATTGTTTCATGAATTCAATTTTTCAGTCACTCCTTAAATGCTGTTTGCATTCTAAGTGATCTATAGTTACAATTTCAGAATTTTCAGATGTTTCTCCCCAGGTCAGTTACTCCCAATTGTCCCTGACAGTCACAGTGCTTCTAGGAGTCAGGATATCATCAACCACTTAATGCATGAGACTGAAATTGAAGGACATGCAAAGTATCTCAAAAAACTCATGAAAAAAATAAATGGAAACCTAGATCTTGACTTATTAGAAAGTGAAATTAGGTGTGTAAATGTTCTATTAAATAAACTTTTTTCCAAAATGCAACATTATATGAATAAAAATATACAAAATAAATAGTTTTTTTGAAAAGAATATATTATATAAACCAAAGGTAATGAGTTTTAGATCATAAATATCTATTCTATATGGAATTATAGTAATAGGTACTAACAGAAAAGGTTTAAAAGTGTATTGACTGAGTGAGCACAAATCTCAGATCAAAATCAACAGATCTCTAGTAATCTTGGCTTGCAAGTAGTTTGAGATTCTGTAGTTAAAACAAAGTTGTGTTCTGATGTGTCAATGTTTAAGTAAATTTTCTGACTTTTCTATATTTAACATATGGCTTAGAGCCTGTTGGCTCATCTGTAAATTATAATCATCCATGACTTCTTTTTGTTTCCTTGAGCTGGTTAGAATTTTGTTGATTCATGAAAATTGCAGATTGACTCTAGAAAGTCTTTGAATCAGTGTGGTTAGACTTGAACTGTATCTGTCCACTGATTCTATTATATTTGTGTGATCAATGTAGATGCTTAATATTAACCAAGAAAATATATTGTCAAAATGTACTCAGCTAAAATTTCACTTATAAACAGTACTGGGCATCTATTTTCAAGTTCAAAAATGTTACCTAGTATTTATATTTAGTACTGGAGCCACCACTAATAACAATGAATACCCTGAAATTCTAGCAGCAGTGGCCATCATTTTTGAATTTTTAATATATTCCAGGCACATAAACTATATAATTTAATCTACCCAACAGTGACATGATATATGCATGATTATGAACAAAATTTTACAGATATGATCATTAAGGACCAAAGAGATTTACTTTTTAAGATAATGCAGCTTAAAAATATTAAAAAGGACATAATTACAAAACAATTAAAAAACAAGCAAAATAATTATTTCCCAGCTAACCATCCTTCATAATCTAATTCTCTCAAAGCTCTGACTACCTTTAGAAATCAGACTGGGCAAAGTTCCTCCAACATTAAATGAACATTTCCAGAAATGGCAGGTCACAGGTGCTTCTCTCTTTGGTCAAAAGAGCAAAACTCTAAGTTATCTTGAATCCTTTGAGGAAGTTACTCCTCACCCTCCAGAAGGAAAGAGAGCTAAAGCAGGGCCCAAAGGCAGTGTAAGGGCTTTTCATCTCTCATCTAATCGACTCCTGGTACCCCAGGTTCTTTACCTGGCCAGGTGTGTGCTCAGTTGCATCATCATTAGGCAGTTCAGATAATGAAGAGAGTGTATAAAGCTCATGAGAGCTCAAATCATGAGCTTGTATCCATTTAATGGCAAAACTACACCCCATTCCCTCAACTGGCTATTTTTCAAAGAGCTGCAAGTAGATATTGAGGGCCATGGACAAAACTGTACAGATACACCTTCTTCACTGGAGCATGGAGAAAACTACCAGTTGGTGGGACAAGCATACACTTTCCCAATGCAGACAAGGAAAGAAGGGTCAGCTCAAAGTGAGTTTAACCCACTGTGGAATCCCCCACTTATGATTCCAGGAAATCTATCAGTTACAGGAGTGCAAGGGGCTGAGATAAGACTTTTAACATATGTTATCTCTCAACAAATAGCAAATAAGAGAAAAGCCACTCCAATTTTAGAATGTTAAAAGACAAATTTATTTTTCTAAGACTTCTTTCCAGCAACATTTGTATATTAAAGAGGCCTAGAAAACTAATTTACTTATAAAAGTAACTTAGTTATAGAAACAGAACAAAAATACAATGATAATAAAATCCAGTTACACTTAAAGAGTCTAACACAAATGTGTTGAAGTTTTCAAAGGATTTCCTTTGTTTAGGTGTTTTGATGCAAGGGAGTTGACTTATGTGCAAGAATCTATTAGCATACAGCTTCTAGGATTGCCAGTACCTCAGGGTAGAGACTTTGGTTTAAAATAAATAAACAAATGTGAACTTTTACACATCAGGCAAAAATGTTTATGTTTTTCACTCTACAAGAAACTGTCCCAGCTCTAGCCCCTTCAACCGTCACCACATTGTGAAATGTACTCAGGACCCAGAAAGGGCTGTCCTTGGTAACTGTCCAACTCTCTGACCGCTCCTGGAAGTGCAACCTAGAAATGTCCTGACCTATATTTTTGTGGTATTATGAAAGTAGAAGTGAAGTTATTTGCTAGTTTTTGTTTTATTCTTATATTCGTTTTCATATATTTTTATTTATAATTTTGGAGTCTGTTTTTTTGTTGTCAGTTACCTAATATCCCCTCTATAAATTCATTCTTGAAACTATTCAAACCTGAGAAAATAATAGGCTGCTAGTATTCTGAACAGTTTCTCCTCAGGGTTTCTGTATAAATGTCAACTGTGATATATGACATTACTAGGCTGTGGAATCTGGGGGTAGCTTGTTACAGAGGGACAAGCATGAAGCTGGGAGGTCATGGCCCTGGTCCTAGATCTCAGGCCCCTACTGGCTAGCTGTGTGATCGAATATGCCCTTAGCTCTTTAGAACCATAGTTTCCCTTCTGTGAAGTTGAATAGAAGGTACCTTTGTTGTAGTTATTGTGAAGATTAAACAAAATACAGAATTGAATACCATGCCAAAATATATCAGTTTATTGTCCTAGGATCATCCCATCATTGGATCACTGAATCCAATCATTGGATTATCCTCATTCTAAAGATAAGGAAAGCTAAGGTCACAAGACTCACAAGACATGGTCCTGATAAGGTCACTCAGGCAGCTGGAGGGGAGCTGGCCACACCTCCCCAGTCTCTGGACCTCATACCCATAAAGGTTTCCCTCCACATTGTGCCGTTTATCAGGGCAGTTGGCGAACTTTGCCATAGCATGTGCGGTGTGGGTGTTAACCAGGCTGAATTTTCTTTACACTGCATATTGTACCTTTTCACAAGGGCTTAGTTTCACTACTTAATTCTAAATAAAAAATAAGCCCTGCCTCATTTATGTGGTGGGCCCTGTGTATTCTTTGCCTTTGCTATCATCTAAAATAGTATCTCGTGAAGGAGGAAGAGAGGCATCATTTACTGAATACCTGTTGGGTGTCACCTGCTTTCCATGTGCTCCTGTGTGATGTCTACAGTGTGACATCTACAGTGTGCCTCACTGTACGAGTTAAGGATGCCAAGATCAGAAATGTTAAGGGCCCTGTGTAGTTTGAACAGAGACGAGTGCCAGGCACAGAATCTAACCTAGGTGGCTCTGACTTAAAGGTGGCTCAAACCTAGGTGGCTCTGAAATCTTTTAGTGATTTCATTGGCAAAAGCACAAAAGTCACTAGTCCACCAGGGAAAATAGAAACACACCAGCATGAAAAAACTAGGCAGCCTGTTACAAAGCTAGAAGAAACAAGTGTCTCATCTGTCCAGATCTGTCCAGTTAGAAAGCTCACTCAACTTTTTTTCCCCATATAATTACAGTGAAAGCCGGAGGGGTATGTAGAAAGTTGGTTTGCAGACCATCCCTGGAAACTATTGCTTGCGATGCATGTAGGCACGGCTATCGGCAGGACTCCTCTTTTTCTGAAGAATAATTAATAAATATTTTCTTTTAGCATATAACAAACAGTTGAACCAAGCAATTATGTAAACTGGAAATGACCCAAAATGCTAGCAGTTGGCAGCAACACAGTGAAGTGCATTGTTGTGCACATGTGCATTTTTGTCACTCCTGCCTCTCTGGTGATCTGCACTTAATAGGAATATTTTAAACTATGTAGCTAAGCAACAGAGGTAATTGTTGCTTTCTAGAGCTTTTGTTAGCACTCTACCACAGCCCAAATATGCATAATTAGGTATAATGTCTATAAATCATTATTGTACACATGTGGGTAGTTAAGTGGAGTGAGAGAATAGTTCAATGAATTGAGCATATTCACTGAAAATGCTTTTTATTTGTTTTCTGTAGTTCATAATACTTTAAAATTATCATAACCCTTTACACTTTCTCTTAATCACCAACCGTGATACTGAGAAAAACTTCATTTGCATTTTAGACTATGTTTAATATATTATTTAAACCTGGAGTTCCTCTGATATGAATCCAGGAGAGGATAGACCATCCTATCAAATATTATGTGCTTGTTTATCCAGCCTCTTTTCTAGGAAGTAAAATGTTAAATTTTTCAGTTTATGTTGAATAGATCCCAACAAAAGACTGCACCCTATAATCAGCATTATTTAAAGGGGCTAGTGTTGTGACTAAATTCTTCCCTTCATCCAAAAATGCTTTTAGTTACTATGGCAATATTTACTTGATCCTGGCAGTCCAGTGTTGATTTAGAGAGATAATTACCAGAAAGGAAGATGATGGAGATGTATTTTTGAGTGTCCTTGTGAGAGACAATGTTTATTAAAAAAATTAAATGAGCCAAAAAAAGGCTCATTGTTTTCTGCACAGACACCCTTGTCCACAGCCCTCACAGTGGATGGCTCTACCTTTCCTCCAAAGATGTTTATTAGCACAGAATGCACTTCTCTTGGTGTCTGTAGCAGTCTTCAAGGTGGCTTATTATTTTGTGTTGCCCATCCCCCACCCTGCCTTTTGAGACACAGAAATGGTCCTCCTCCTTCCTCTTTTTTTGTTATAGTGTTCATTGAAAGCAACATTGCTGGGAAGCAACATTGCATTTCACAGCCTGGTGTGTGGATTAGGTCACCAAAGAAGCTGCACCATTAATTGGTGTGTTTGCACTAGGACACACATACACACACATACACAAGGTGTCATCCCCCTAACTGGGTCATGGCTGAGGATGAAAGGTGGTGACACTAACAACTACAGTGGAACAACAGAGGTCCAGTAGACTGCCCTAGACAGCCTGGCACTCAGAGCCTCTTCTCGGTCATAGGACTCCTTCAGTGTCAAGACTCCATCTGGCTCTGTACCGAGAATAGCTAGTTAATATTCAACATCCTCTGACCATCCCCGTTTCTTGTCTCATTTGCTTTTTACACACATGCACAAAGTACCAGACCAGAAAATGTGTTACTATTTAAGATATTATTCAATTGTGCTAATTTTTCCATTCACTTGTATTTCCCTCAGCATGGAATTTTTGCATGATGATTAGAAAAGTAGTCAAGACGTCTTGAAAGTCTTCAGAACTTTTTTGGTTTTCATCATGTACATGTATTTTTTATGTTAACTAAAATTCTAAAAATCTGAAAGTATATTGGAAAAACTACAAAGATAAAAAACATAAACCAACTAAACCTTGAAAATATATTGTCATGCTAACAGAGAAATCTGATGACTGTTTTCTTCGTAATGTATATTATTGTACATATTTGACTTCCTTCTAGGTGACTAAGGGTGAAAATATAAGAGGTACAATAACAGTGATTTCACATTCAACATTCTGTTACTGTTATATATCTATTTCAGCACACTAGAAGCACTCAGTTCTTAATATACTGAGAATTCTAATACCCCATTTCTTTAAAGGTAATTCTCAGAATGTGAAGGTCTAAGCTTTGTTTTGTTTTATTTGTTTTAAGAAGTTGTATATTTCCCTCTAATGTTTTAAAAATTGATAGAACTTTCATATTTACATATTTCATATATTATATATACATAGGTATGTATGTATTATGTATATTTCCTCAAAATATTTTTGAAAATATTTCTTAAATAATTTAAAATTATTAAATAAATTTAAATAATCTTCTTTAACTATGTTTTGTTCTTCTTTTTTAAACATTGGTTTTCCTTTTCCATAGAAGAAATCATGATAAAACCTACAGATGAGAGTTTTCATTCTACTGCACAAGAAAAGCCCAATGGGAAGGAAGACAGATACGGCTGTTACCGAGAGCTCACGGTCAAATCTATAATGCACTTGGGGAAATTTGAAAAAAATGCATCTGTTCAGGCTATAAATGAAAACTTAAATGACAGTGGCATCCAGTCTCTAAAAGCAGAGAGTGATGAAGTAGATGAGTGCTTTATGATTCATTCTGATGATGGAAAAGACAAAATCAATGACTCCCAGCTGAGATTCTGCTCCTCCGATGACAATGAAAGTAACTCTGAAAGTGCAGAGAATGGCTGGGACAGCGGCTCCAACTTCTCAGAAGAAACCAAATCACGTAGAGTCCCAAAGTATATTTTAGTGGATAATAGGAAAGACATATTGGACATTACTGAAATAAAAACTGAAGGTGACAAATTTCTCTCTTGTGAAAATAGGTGTGATTCTGAAATTGAAAGGAGAGACCCACAGGACGCTCACATGGAACCACTGGATGGCAAAGCCCAGGCCTCATTCTCTGGGGCTGAGGAAGATGATAACCAGTGCCTGGCAGCAACGACAGAAGAGTCTGTTGACCTGGAGAAAGCGAAGGGGAACTTAAGTTTGCTGGAGCAGGCAATCACTCTGCAGGCTGAGCGCAGCTGTGTTTTCCATAACACCTACAAAGAGTTGGACAGGTTTCTACTGGAGCACCTAGCAGGGGAAAGGAAACAAACCAAAGTTATTGACATGGGTGGAAGACAAATTTTTAACAATAAACGTAAGACATGTTTTTTTGAATTTATTTTAGAAATAAAATTGTTCTAGGATTGGGAAAAAAGTTAGTAAGACTTGATTACTTCTTCCTGGTAGCTTTTTGACAACTTAACACAATTTAAAAGCTAATTTGTATTATAAAATGAGCAATTTCATTTTGTTTTCCTACTCTCTAAATTGTTTGCAGAGCAAGTTTGGTCAGTTTTGCAGTGTTTTCACACACGATAAAAGAATCATTGCCTCTATTTCTTTAAATTTGACAGCTGTTTAAAAGTATATAGTACCTTTTAAAAAGTATTTTATTGGATATTAGAAGTATGTTAGTATTTATTCAATTTTAAATCATTGCATTAATCAAATCAATTCCAGGAATTTATTTTTAGTTTTCCACCTTCTTTCTGGGATTATCTGACTGTCTTTAAGCTTCAAACTACTTGCAAGTCAGGCAGGATGATCTATCTGATCCTTCTCAGGATAAAAGTGGCTATTAATCCTTTCATAAGTCTATGCTTTTTGCAAGCTCTCTAACTCAGGGTCCACAAATATCTGGGCCAAGCTTGAATAAGAGAGTAAATATGCTTAAAATTGTCCCTCAAACTTTAGGAAAAATATGTCCTCTCTTCCCTAAAGATAAACCCCTTCCCCACCCCAGCCCCAACCTTGCACTAGGTGGTCCCAATGATGATTCTTACAGTTAAGTGGAGTTTCACAAATGGTGGTACTTAAGTGCCTGGAAGGCTTGTTTAAGATGAGTATCTTCAGGATCCCATCAGACTCGCTGCTCCAGAACTTGATTTTTTTTCAAAGCAAGTTTTTCAGGTGACACTTGGAAACCCTAAAGTCTGATAACCACAGAATTAGGGAAAATCAAGCTTGTGGCCCCAAAGTTGTGCTTATAAGAGATGTTCTGGTTGCTGATATTTATGCAGAAATTAATGATATATTTTGTCATTTTAAGTCCATTTTGGTACTCACCTGAAATCTTATCTGATATCATCTTGCAGCTTAGAGTTGAAAAAACAAAAAAGAATAAAATAATGTCATGTAGTAAGTAACAAAATAATGCCATGCAACATACCGCCAGGGTTGCGATGGGGACAGAATATTAGTGAATAGTGTATGATTTGGGACAGGATACTTACTTAGCTCTGTGTACTCCACTAATATGCAACTGTTGACTTACCTGTGTGTTTTCTTTTTAAATAGACTCAAAGTCAGAAAAAAATGAAATTTACTTCAAATTCCCCCAACCCATAATATCTAATATACTATATTTCATTCATTCTAAGATACATAGTTTCCCAGTTCAATATCTCTGAAATCAGAAGGATGTGCCATAATTTAATTTGTTGTTTTTCCTTTTTTACTAGTATACAAAATGGTGTTGCATCTTCCAATTAATAAAATCTTCCAGCCAGTGAAATGCATTATTTGGAGAAATTTTGACATTTGTGTTACAACTTAAAATATTTGATGATCCTTTGGTCAATTTTGTAGAACTTTTGAAACTTTTTCTATTTTCAAAAATTAACAAAGCTATAGAATCTGTGCTTATATACATGGGTCATGTTGGAGATTTACTGAATTACTCATAGGGCTGCATGAGTCAATAGTGTATCTTATTGTATAGAGCATGATCCTGCCTTGGTGTGTTAAAAGCCTATGCAAGAAGATCCAGAACAGATTAGTATAAAATAGAGGGTGTAGGGGAGTAAAACTCAGGGAAACTGTAGGCTTAGCTTAGAGAATGCCTACAGAGTCCAAGTTGAGTATTCACTTTCCTGTTCCTTTTTCCAGATTTGGGAGGCAGTAGGGTAAGGGATGCTTTTTTCTCTGGCATGCATTCCATGCTTCTAAGTCAACACTTTTTCCAAATGATAGTCATACTCTTCAAAATACCATCCTAGTTTTCTGTATGTGTTGGGCATGCAACTGCTGTTAATGAGAGAATAGGAGGATTTTAAAATATCATTTTATCCAAGACTTCAGATGAGTCAGCAATTCTAAAATTAAAAAAAAAAAGTTTGGCTATCCTGTTGCTACTAAGCATCTAGTGAGCCTTTAGGTCATAATATAGGTAGAGTCATCATGCAATTTATTGTACAGCATAGGGCACTAGCATGAAGGGGAGTGATATGAACAATCACAAATGTATATCAGGTGTGAATAGAACAGTCCCAGACAAACCAGTATATAAGGTCACCAGGGTATAAGGTCATTATGCAGCATTTCACAAAGAAAATTGAAGAAGAGGAGCCGGGGGGCCTGAGAGTCACTGGAGCTCTGGCTTCTGATCCTGCGAATAGGCTCTGCCCTATAGAGCATTTCATCAGCATCTTTGTTTCACCCACAGAGAAGAGGCTGGCAGACAAAGGTGCCTGATGGACTGTCAGTGGACCACACCTGGTCAGGTGCCAGCCCTGCCTTATCTCCCACACCCTCTCTGGCTTCTTGTAGACAAATAGTGTGGCAAGGAGGAGAAACAACGCCAAACCTTTCAATATGGCTTAGAAATGTGTCCTCACCTGGATGAGATCCAAGAGAGGAAAGACACCAAAATACACATTGCTTCTCATTTTTTCTAATTCACTCTCACATAGTGTCAAACCTCCTAATTTCACTAGCATCAAACTTCCAGGAATTTGACTAATGATTTACAGAAAGTACATGCCCAAATCAACTTGAAATTGGGCAACATTTTTAAATTAAATAAAATCTATATCCTTAAAAATCATAGAATATATGTCAAAGCTTTTAATATGCCCTTTTATCTCTTACAGAAAACAGAGTATATTCTCTTTATCACTGCATTTAAATCCTGTCTCTCATGAAACAAAAATGCCTGCTACTCAAGGCATCCCTACCTAGTGGCTGTTCATTTCTCACTTAAAATTTAGAGCTTTCTTTCTGCTCCTCTCACCCACTCCCCTCCCTCCCTGTGTGGCAACTTGAAGGATCCTTGGTTCCTCTCCTTTGCTGAAACCATGACCCCAAATAATCACAGTACATTCAACCCATTGTGTCCATCTTTCCAGGACTGTTTATAATCCAACCACTGAGTGACACCTCTTATAGAGCTGCGTCTGCGCACTGCCATCTCCTGCCCTGGAGCCTGCTGTGTGCCACCCCCCCCCCAGGGGCCAGGCATGGAGAGGAGCACTTGTGCCCTTACCGTTCCCCATGCAGACCTCTGCCCCCAGTGCCATCACCAGCAGCTTTCTAGCAACAGAATTATACATTATGTATGTTTGTGCTTAACGCCAAGTGTGTTCATTCCTGTTGATACTTCATTTTCTGAGCAGCCTGCAGCTGCCTCCATCCCCCTCCGGTCCTTTTTCTTGAGGCCCCTTTGGGCTCTGCTTCCAGTTCCTGGAAATGCCTGAAGGCTGAGTGACAGCCACATCCCATGACTGGTGTATCATTCCATGCACCAGTGAGGGGCCAATTTGGGCTATACCAATGCATTTATGTTCAGCTACCATCTCAGTCACAAACTTGAAAAGTCTAAAGAATCCCTCTGTTAGCTCTAGCCTTGTCACTATTCGTGTTCCTGTTTATTTTATACATAAAATGTTTTCTTCTATTTTATTTTATTTTCTTTAGAAAACCCTTTAACCTTTAGTGATGTGTGTGCCAGGAGGTTGAAACCCCGAGTTGTCTTCAGCATTCCCCCTTTAGGCCGCATCCATGGCAGACTGACAAAACGAGTTACACAGTGTCCCTGTTCCTTGCCTGGCTATCCCCGGGGTCCCCACCCCCACCTCACGTTCCTGGCAGCGCTCTCAGACCACTCAAGGCGGCCTACGCTCTTTGTACTTCCATTCTCTCCAAGTCTCCCGCAGGAATGTTTCTTTGTCAAACCTTTTTCCTGTTGCCTTAGTTTTTAGTTTGCATTCAAAATAAAATCCACAGCTCCTTTTCTGTAGCCCCTGCATATTGATCCCAAATGGCAAATCATTGGTGTTTTGGAACCTCGGACTCAGCAGCCTGCCAGTTGGTTGGCCCCACACAAGATCATATTCTTGATTCCCTGTCCTAACTCTTGTAGAAGCAGTTTCCACACACACCCAGGAGCAGCCTCTGGGACCCAAAGCCGGGGGCCACCTGCTTCGTGAGTGACAAGGCCAGTGATATCTTTCTCAGATATGATGGCTATTTTGTTTTGTAATTTTGAACCTGGCCTTTTCCAGCCTCCTTCAATAGGAGACAGTTTTTGGTTTAAACAAATTCTTTCTTCATTCTCACTTTTTTTTTCTTTTCAGGAGCCTGTGTATCCTATGGAATTGCTTTTTCATAATGAGGCTCTAACTACAAGTCTGTGACATGACAACTTGAAATCATTTCTGTATTTTAGCACTCCTTTGCCCTCTATCAGCCTTGGCTTAGGAAACCAAGAAAATTGAAAACACTTTTTGTGTTTCCACAGGTTTTAGTTAAGGGTCTTTATTCAAGGTAATGTGAAAAGAATGTTTATGATAAAACTGGATAAAGTGAGAGAATGTCACCCTGCAAGGCCACTCTATTGAAAGGGAAGGGAAAGAAGAATAACTAAATTAATCTCTCAATTTTATTTCTCTGTAGATTCACCAAGGCCTGAAAAGAGGGAGACCAAGTGCCCCATCCCCGGGTGCGATGGCACAGGACATGTGACAGGACTCTACCCCCACCACCGCAGCCTTTCGGGGTGCCCCCACAAAGTGCGGGTTCCCTTGGAAAGTGAGTACTGCTTAGCCTAAAGGTAATAGGTGCCTTGTTATAAATTCCACCACATCTCAATGTTATCCTCTTTCTCCTCTAATTTGGAACTAATAATGGAAACATAAAGTTTTCTTTAATTTTATCAAGATAATTTTCATTTAGCCTGGTATTTAAAATATATATTAGTGTGCTAATAGAAAATGTAGATAGAGTCAGGCCTATAGATCAGGAGATGACTCACACTGAGAAGATAATTTGCTACTCATAGTTCCCAAGAGAATGGGACAGGTCTCACCAGGCAGGGCCATACTGGGAAGTACCAGAGCCAGTCAGGGTATAGAGTGAGGGAGGAATTGTGGGCAAGAGCCTTTATTGTGCTTACCATCGGAAGGACAGAGTAAGCAGACTTAAGATTGGCTAGTGTGAATTCTTTCAGTGGGCTCTGAGGTTTAGGGTCTGTCTGCAGTTGTCTCATAGCTACCCATGAAAGATTAAGGCAAGTCAAGATTATCCTGTAGAACCAGAACCTAATGAAAGAGGCATTTGGGTATGGGCTCACAATTGGGTGGTTTGCATCTGAAAACGTGTTTACTGTCTCTAGGAATTAGGTAGCCCTGGGAGGGGCAGTCTCCCCAGGGTTGCCAAAGCCCTGGATGTCAAAGTATCACAATACAGAAAATAAAAGTCATGGTTAATACTCTGTGTGACTGCACAGTCCTTTCTTGCTTGAAGGTATGGCATCCTTAAGCCCACATGGAGTGTTAGCTTCAGTGCATCATTTAAATATGGAAAGTGCATCACTTCACTGATATCCTCCCTACCTGCCTCTGCACTTAGGGTCACATGATGTCTGTGATGTTGTCCCAGGACATCCTACAGTAGCTGAGGGCCCTGAGCAAGAGCAAAACTGAGTTGATCTCCCCATCTACATGCCCTGTGAGCTAGGAAACTGAAGGAAAAGAAAAAGACTGCTTCCTAAATTTTCAAGTATCTCTGTGTTATATCTTCTACTTTTTGAACCTACTTATTGAAACACTTCTTGGGTTGTACAAATCACAGTGATGGGGATGCCTCAACATCACCCTTCTAAAAAAAATTTTTTTTTGCAAATAACTGTATCAAATCAGCTCAGCACTGTCTCGCTGGATTAGCAGTTTCTCAAACTGATTGCCTCAACCATACTATTTCACCAATAATTAAATGACATTAGCAATGAAGAGCAGAAAGTGATGGGCAAAGAATCAAAATAATATCTCTTAAAAAATAAAGCAGACTGTATTCAGAACTTCACACTGTGGGAAAAAGATAGAACTACTATTTGACAAATAAAATTTTCCATTCATTCTAAGGAAAAGCATATGCATATAAGAAGAAGATTAAGGTCTTTCCAGTTTAAGTTAACTATAAGCGGAATAGTGTCACTTAAGTTGTGATAACACCATAATATGAAGTTTAGAAAACCCAAAACTTGGACAACCTTGCTGAACTTAATCTTTGAAGTCCTTAATGCTAATTTACTTCAACCCTAATAACTACGGGGAAGGAGCATGGTGGATTCAGTAACTAAATTTACTTGAATGCAAAATTGAGAGATCAATTTGTTAGTGTATTATGTATTTATGGTATACTGTCTTTTTCTTTTATGTGATATTTTGTGCTTAGTTCTTGCCATGCATGAAAATGTGCTCAAGTGTCCCACTCCAGGATGCACAGGAAGGGGGCACGTGAACAGCAACCGCAACACCCACAGGAGGTAATTGTCACGAGTTGTTACCCTTTTATATTACAAAAAGAAGTTACTTTTACCAAGAAAATAAGAAACTCACAATGTGTTATCCAAATCACTGCATCCATATCAAACCCTTACCACTTGAATAAGAGGTATTCTCAATTTGTGCAAAGTAAACAAAAAAAGATCTCACTATTTACTTTCTTAAAAATGTTCATTTAGCAGTCAATTATGCTAACAAAAAACATTAAATTTGAAGCCTAGGGTTACACATTCATTTAGTCCTACAAGTAAAATATGTTCTCTTTTGCTTTAGAACCTCACCATGGCTGTTTTGACATTGAAAAGATTGCTTAGGATTTATCCTTAACCCCATTGTGTAAGCATTAAAAAAGGAACCAAAGGGTTTCAATATATTGCTGTTTTGACTATAAATCAGGTTGAAGCTAGACAGTATAACACTTCATGGACATTCATCTCATTGAGATTTCAACTAACTTAAAACATATGTGCATTTATATACAGATGTGTTGTGTTTGTGTAAATATTTTTGGCACAAATGCCAATGTTTTATGTGTATTTTATATTAGGTGTAGATTATGTAGTCAGGAGATACTATTTGATTCATAACCACATTGCCAAAAACATTCATATTCTATTCTTTGAATTTAATCTAAGACATCCCACAAAGTCCCTTACATTTTCCTAAAGATCTGAAGATAAATCATGGAGTTATCATTACAACACCTCTAGTTGGATACATTGCAATTGAAGCAAGCACATTCCACTAAAATATTACGAAGTTTCAGAATAATTTAGTTATTTTTCTCTTAGTAACATTTTGATTTTAAAAATGAGTTTGTTATCTACAACCTCTGAGATGTAGTTGAGGGACAAATGTTGACACTATAATTTGCAAAACTCTTTGGGATCTCTAAGTATGAGAATGGTGCTAAGTGAACTATTAATATGACTTAACATTTAATGTGTGCCAAGTATGCTGTGAGGTACATGCCAGAGAAAACTATATCATCTTTTTAACACAAATCCTCCTTTTTTTTTTTTGAAAACAGTCTTTCAGGTTGTCCAATTGCTGCAGCTGAAAAATTGGCAATGTCCCAAGACAAAAATCAGCTTGATTCTCCCCAAACTGGGCAGTGTCCTGACCAAGTTCACAGGTATGGCCCTCCCATGACATCCCTGATACTCTACTCATGCCATGCTCCTGCACAGTGGGTCTGTCTCCTCTCATGTGCTAGTTCACTATGGCCTGACCTTCATTCTCAGCTCCCAATATCCATCTGAGAGGCTGGTCCAGTTGACCATACTGTCACTTAAATGAACTTCTAGATCCTCCAGAACTTTTACTTGAAACTAATCTGTGTGCAAAGCTAACATAATATGGATAAATCTAAAAGAAATAAAGTATATAACATATATTAATCAAAATTCTGCATCACCAAATGCAACCTATTCCACTGGTCAGCTATGCTCTTCCTTATGGTTGACTTGACCTTTCTGCACAGAGAATATGCCATCATAAATCACTCATACCACTCAAACTATGTGATGTTATATATTCATCCTTCTGTTCTACCTAACTTGATAATTATTAACAAAATACTCCTATTGCTCCTAAGTACTTCACAATCTCTGGTAGTTTAAAAGACCATACTTATACCTAAGTAGTAAATGATATATGATGACACTTAATATGAAGTTATACATTTATTAATACAAAAATCATATACATAAGAAAAGTAAGTTCAGGATTAAAACAGAAGATCCAATCTTTATTGTTGTTACTGACACATTGAAATATAAGATAGGTAGTAGGAATATTTTTGAGATTTGGCATCTCTTAATATTTGCTTCTATAAATTTAATTAAAAGAGTCAAATAGAAATTCAAATCACATGAGTGAAGAATATATGTCAAGTACATGAATTTTACTGAATAACTAGCAATTTAAACTCTTATAATAAGATTCTTAGTTAGTATTAGAACTATGCATTCTCTAGTTTTTCCCTAAGTAGGTTATTTATCAAATCAAACATAACAGTACATTTTATTTTGCTAATTTTTAAAAAAATAAATATTGTTTTAGACTAGAACACTTGTGCAAATTAGGGATATAAACCAAGTTATGTAAACAATAACAAGATTAACTAATCTCTCAAACAGTTTTATGTTTCAGCTAAAATTGTTTTTTGTCAAATCAGAGAAATATCATCAAAACTTTTATATTCTGAGCCAGGCATGTTTTGGTAGAAAACTAAAGATTTTATTTTATATATATGTACACATATATACACATATGCATACATACATATATACATACATACACACATATATACATATATACATATAAATTCTGAAAGGTTTATTTTTATATTCATTTATGTTCTTTTACCATTAAACCATAGCACAACATTTGTATTCTTGTTGGCTGCAATTGGTACTACACAAATGCGATGCCTTTGTTTAATCCAAATACAATAAGTAAAAAATATAGATTTAATTCACATTTAGCTTAGATTGAAATAATTTTGTTTAAAAAATTTGATAGCTACAATAATACAGTGATTTAGTTTTATATTGAAATGATGGAAATTTAATAGCCAAAATATTGAAATACTATTTAAAATAATATTTAAATTAACAAAAACATTTAGACTGAAGTTATCAAGACAAGTGAAAAGCCTAAAAATACTCACAATTCAGGACTCAATCTTCTGGTGTCTATGCTGCCTCTTTTAGGTGTTAGGCTCCTGCCAGTTCTGCTGAACAGGGCATGGTGTTCAGTATCACTTCTCCTGAACCCAATATAATGTCTTTCCCTCACTAGATACAATCATGACTATTCACTGCTAACTTGATTAACAGCCCTAACAAGCAGAATAGGCACATCTTGTCAGTGCCCTAATAAGAGTTATATGGTACTTTTCTCTGAGGAGCTCAAAGTGCTAGGCTAGTATACATCAAACACTTGCTTTTTATGGCATCTGCATAATATGAATGGAAGATTGTACACCTCTCTTGTGCTGACGGGAGACTCAGACACGTAAAACAAAACCTCACCTTAGTCCCCCAGAATCCAAAGTGCCTCCCTGTGTCTTATTACTCTTGGTGCAGAGCACTGTGCTCTGTTGGCCATAACTACAGCTCTTTCCCACAGTGCAGTGTCTCTGTGGGTACCCCCAGGTGCCCCACATCTGATCTGCTTTAAATTTTGATGCTAATATGCTCACCAGTAGTTTTACTATATTTCTTTTTGAACTCTTCAGAACAAGCTTGGTGAAGCAGTTAGAATTCAATTTCCGATCACAAGCCGTCACCTCTCCCAGAGCCACGTTGTCAAAAGATCAAGAGAAATTTGGAAAAGTACCATTTGATTATGCCAGCTTTGATGCACAGGTTTTTGGTAAACGCCCCCTCATACAAACAAGTCAAGGACAAAAAACACCACCATTTCCTGAATGTAAGCTTTGAATTCTAATACTTATCCCAAAAATATGCACATTGTGTATGTAGGTGTTGGGGGAGTGTGTACTCCAATATGTTACTTACTGCTGAGAGAAGAGAAAACATACCATACAGTGCAATAAAATAACTTGATCACTGTTACTGATTTTATGTGAAGTTACATTGAATATGATGATTAGTTAATGGATTAATTATTCTACAAGTATGGTACCACTGTTGAGCCTTAATATACTAATTCTGAAGAAATACTTAAGGCACATTTGGCTGGGATTGGTATTAATATGTTGAATACTGTGGGGAGGGGAGAGGGGGTATGGAGGAAGGTGTAGGCAAGTATAGGGGGTATAAATGGTGATGGAAGGAGACTTGACTTGGGATTGTGGACACACCATACAGTGTACAGATGATGTGTTGTAAAACTGCCCCTGAAACTCTAATTTTATTAACCAGTGTCACCCCAATAAATTCAATAAGAAATGAAAACTAAACTAATTGACTAAATAAATGTAAGTTAAAAAGCACAAATGAACACTTTTCTATGTTTTAATAAACCTTTAAAAAGAAAATACATTAAAACTGAAATAGCTATTAACAAAGTAATTTTGATTCATAATGAAATTATGGTAAATATTTAAGGTAAATTATTGAAATACTACTTAAAACGTTACTTAATTCAGCAAAAGTGTTCAGACTGAAAGTAGAAGAAAAAGGGAAAAGTCTAAGAAACACAATTTAGAAATCAAGATGTTACTAGAAAAAATGTGTGGCTATGAAACTGTTTATTCACAAATAAAAGAATTTATATAGAAACATTTAAAATGTGTTAATACTGTAATGTTAACAAATCTTTATAGAAGATGTATTCATAACTCAAAGATGCTATAACATATAAAACTTGATGTTTTTACCAATGCATTTTTTAAAGTTGTTTATTCTTGAATATTCTAATGAAAAGGAGAGAAAGTGAACATTGGCAATAAAGCCAGAAATGATTTCTGCATTATGGCAACTGAATCATAAGGGAATAGATGAAGTAATTTCCCACTTTGGGTGTTGCTTAGACTATGAATTTTATACAACATTTGTAATTCTGAAGAATTCTTTTGATCTCACACCTACTTACCTAGGCTGAGTGCTCTTAGAACACAGCGTATTTGCTTTATTCTGCAATATCGATCTCATCTTTTAAAGAACTAGAATGTTGTGTAAAACCCAACAGTGGCTAAAAACAGACTTGAAAGGAGTCTGCCCATCAACAAGTACATTATACTCCAAAAGATATTTTACTTATTCATACCAAAAAATAGGTCCCAACCAACATAAATAACTATTGAAAATGGGTATTTTGTATCTGTCTACATAATTTTATGTACAGTTTCATATAGTTTTATTAAATATATGCAAAATATGATCATGTTTAATTCTGGTAAAGATAGTTAATAAGAGCAAATCTATATACTTACATAAATGTTGGTTTAAAAATGTGAAACACTCAGTGACATTTTTGTATTTTTATATAGGGATAACATTTGGTAATGTTTCAAATTTTATTTTATGAAAAATAATAATCAAATATTTAAAATAAACTATATTTACAGTGATATAATAGCTAAATGCTTTTATAAGATCCTGCATTAAATCTTGGGTGTTTTACCCATAACTTTGAGTGATGTTTATAAACACCCAGAGTAAAGAGAAACATGTTTAATTCTCTCAGCAATGCCTTAGTACCCACAACAGAAACAAAACAGAAACTCAGCCTTGATATCTAAATTGCCTTTCTGTTCACCTTGAGAACATTTTCTCTGTCATTTACTCATCATACTCTACCTGAATATGCAAAATGCCAGCTCATTAAAGACTCTGCCATCTATTTAGTTCCATCTAGTTGGATGGAGAACAATTTCTACTGGTTTAGCTACAAAGCAAACCTGTGTATAAAATAATAAAAATGCAATTCCATATCTAAATATAACTCATTATTGTGAAAACAATTATTGAAAAGATATATTTTTCTTCTATTGGAATAGTGGTCCTCACATATACACAGCTTAGAAATGTACAAGCCTTAAGCCTCTGCAGTCCCTGATGTGTCTTCTTTAGTGTGGTTTTTAATATACAATTTTTACCACAAATGCTGCCAGTGCACCTGTCCCATAACATTAGCTATGGAGGTTTTGTCATAAGAAGTATAAATACAAAAAAAATATTAGAAGAATATGCATTTTTCCCAATAATCACATCATTTGTGGACTTCTGTGAAAACCAATCTGAATAACCTCCATTTAATGTACCAGTGCATAATGGATCATGTTTTAATTTATTCTTCACATATTTTAATGCAAGAAGTTATATCCTTAAAACAAATCTATTTAATGACTAAAACCACGTACATGCAATTGCTAATCAAATCTCTTTTCAACAGCGAAGCATTTTTCAAATCCAGGGAAATTTCCTAATCGACTGCCTAGTGCAGGCGCCCACACACAGAGCCCTTGCCGTGCCAGCTCTTATAGCTACGGTCAATGTAGTGAAGACACCCACATAGCAGCAGCTGCTGCCATCCTGAACCTTTCCACCCGCTGCAGGGAAGCTGCAGACATCCTCTCCAACAAACCACAGAGCCTGCATGCCAAGGTAGGCCCGTCCAAGAGCCTGGAGGGTGGGCCAGAGACTGAACTGTGAGAATAAACTGCCTTTCATGTTCCTAACCACGTTCACTACCATGCAGCTTCCACCCCTAAAGCACATCCCCTCCTTGTCTTAGGAAGAGGCTCAGAGGACATTGACAGGGATGAGCTTGGTGGGTTCATGGAGGAATGAAAGAGTGGCTGTTCTTGAAGATGGAATATCCAAAGTTGGGGAAAGAGTGAACTATGGAGACTGTTTTGGGAGATTTATAGCTTTCAAACCTATGTTTTTTGTTTGAGGAGTTTGGCACACAAGAAAAGAGGATTGCCATTAAAATCAGTCTGAACAACGGAAGCTTTTTGTTGTCTGCAAATCAAAGATGATAGGAAATATTTGATTAAATGGTGACTTGTAAAACATGCAAAATTAACTCATGAAATTTTATTATTGCACATGATATTGACTAAGTTGTTGTGGTATTCGCAAAGGACACATAATAAAACCTGGACAGGTTAAATCAACAAGAGTCTGTTGAGGGGGACTTGAGAATTCAGGGCATTCAGATCCAAAATCTAATTCTGTGAAGTTTATGAAGACCCTGAAGTTAATTATATTTCTCTAAAAACATTGCCTTTCTGACTAACATTGAGAAGTCCACATCCATGTTTACGATACCTTGATGAAAACAAGAAACACAGATCCTCTCTGTCCTGCCTTTTGAGGAGTTGGGTAGATCAGGCTGCAGAGTAACAGTGACGCTCCTCAGAGTGAGGGTAGGACTGTGCCTGCCATCAGTGGGAGCTCGGTAGCCCTATCTACACCAAGGGCTCAGTTAAAATAACTCACTTCCCTATCTGTATGGCTAAAGCCAGCTGAAATAAAGTGGATTATTTGTGAAAAGATTTTAACCCAGCTTTAAGTGGAAGATGCCTTGGGTTAAACTCTAACCTCAAGACTCAGTTGATTAAAGGATAAAGCTCTGTTTTTCCCTTTAAGTGCAGCCCCATCCCCGGTGTGGTCAGCTGCTCACCTGGGGCTGCCAGGCCTTCAGGAGAGTGGGAACGCAGTGCTATAGAGGATTTGACAGAAGAATCAGAATTAGCTTCTGGACAAATCTGAGCCAAGTAAACCCCAGGAAGAGCTGGTGGCCAAAAATCACTCAAAAACAACGTTTAAACAAATGAGGTTCTTAAACAAAGAAAACGCTTCCTCTAAAAAAATATAAAGTTATAAAAATTCAAAGGAATCCAAGTCAGATATTATTTACATTCATAAATGATCTAGAGTACTTTAAAATGCAATTTTATTTATTTTTAAATTTATTATTAAAACCTGAATAAATGTTTCCTTTTTAAAGAGATATTCTAATATGTAGCTAGTTGGAGAAATATTAAAACATCTTTACTTAGTACTTTATTGTTTGTTTGTATAGGCTATTCTATGAAAATGACAATGCCAATATTATCATCATCAATGTTGTTAAATCACTTAAGTAAATGATTCTAGGTTGCATGCTTTCCATTTGCATGTGTAGATATTTTTGTTCCTCATAATTCTGGCTTTTATCCTTAATATACTCCATGCTCTATTAATTGCTGAAGCTAAACAGTGAGTCAAACAAAGATGACTAAAATTTGAGAGCATTGTCTCTTATCAGTACATGTTCTTCTCTTTTAAAAATACATTTCTGGTCAGATAAGTGAATGTTAAATTGCCTTATTTCAAAAATTCCCATGATTGACTTCCTGTGTCTGTTCTTACGCTCCTGTTGGGAGCGTTCCATGTGCCAGTGTTTCTCTGTGGAGCAGATACGCCTGCCCAGGGACAGGAACTCTGCTGCAGACTCAGCCTCCAAACTGCCAACCATGTCCTAAGTACAGAAGCCAAATCATGGATGTCATGAAGATGGAAGTGACAGGAAGTACACAGATAGACTTTTAGAAGGAGTTGTCTTTCTAACAGCTTTAAGAACCATTTCCCCATGAAAAAAAAATCATGTTTGGCCTAACAATTGTTAAAACAGGATGAATATGACACCTACTTTGTGCAGAATCCTTCCAGGTGTACATTTGCACACAACTCTAACAATTTGTAGAATTCTGTCATGTTGGATCCTATTTTCTGAACATAGAAGAGAACCTCATAAACTCCCAAAACCAGAAAAAATAATTATTGTAGCAATAAAAGAGTGAGAAAGCCAAAGTAATTAACCCCAAAAAGTGACCTCTGATCAACCAGTGCCCAGTGTGGGCCATTTCTATTGTCAGTGTTGTACTTTTAAGTCTGTGCCTTTTACCTAATACTGGACTAAGTATAAACAATCTTCCCCTCCACCCTGAATATGAGCCTGATTCTCTTTCCACTGTAATATTTTTTCCTCCATGGCAGGTTGTTAGTATGTTTATTACTGGTAGCAAAAAAATCCATAGATCTCTTGAGTTCCTTATTTAGAACAGAGGGGACAGACAGGTACAGTTTTTCCTTAATCTTGACTTCTATAGCCAAACATTTCTGATGTACCAGAGAGACACTTTGACAGGTGGACTTTTAGCTATACTGCACTGTTCAGGCCCAAGTTATATTCCATCACAGACCCTGCTTTCAAGGAGCTATCAGACAAAGCAAGACAAAAAAAAAATGGTTGTTCCAGGTAAAGGGCTAGGTTTCCAGAAGTAATGTTCCTCACATTCAAGGATGGCATAGGTGGCTTTGCAGAGAACTTGAAAAGAACGTGGGTGAGAGCTAATTTCTTATTTTCCTTCTGTCTCCATCCAGTCCTCTCTTTCATGTAATCAGATTCTCTGAAGTAACTTAGAGAACCCAATAAGAGAACAAAATTACAGATCATGATATTACCTAGTCTCAACCTTTTAAAAATCAAGCCTAAGGACATTAACCTTAAAATTGCCTTTATAGTCACTTCTTGAGACTAATATATATTTTTTATGCTATATGCAAGTTCTTTGCAGTCTCCAAGTTTAGTGGGAAATCTGAATTCATGATTTGCAAAATCTCTACTCTTATGAAAGATAATAGAAACAGAGGCTGTTTTCAGAGAGGCAAGGGAACTCTGATTTCCTACACACTAAAAACAATGAGGATGATATGGATATTCTAAAGTGTTCTTTTCTTTCTGAGGTTTCTCAGCCCTGAGAGGCTGTCTTACTGACACTAAAACACTCCCTTCATCAGCCCCTTCCCAACACTGCACTGAGGATATCAGTGCTCACATCACTGCCCAAACTCAAGTTCATTGTATCCTTAATATAATCTTCAAAGGGATTATTCATTAAAATACAATCTGGCATGAGTGTAACACATCTGCACTGCCAAAAATCACCTGTATGTATTTTAAGTATCTCTTTAAAGAAACAAGTCAGGAGAAAAAATAATATCATTTAGTAGATATCATAATACAGTGTCCAGCAGAAGTAAGGCTTGCTTGAGTGTGGTTGGTAGGGTATGTGAATATCTCACACGGGATGAACAGCAATTTGAACATTGTACCTAAAGTGTCATAAGGTATGCTTGAGTATGATATGGTTATGCTACAGAATTGCATGCTCGTGATTTTGTAATAAAAAAGGGGTGTTATTTGTGTCAGACACTGTAGTTAAAAATAATTTTGTCTGCGGTGTGAGCCCTCTTTTGATTCTAATACTTTCATTTGTTCTAAGATTTATGTGAGCCCTGGCTGGTGTAGCTCAGTGGATTGAGCGCGGGCTGCGAACCCAAGTGTTGCAGGTTCGATTCCTAGTCAGGGTACATGCCTGGGTTGCAGGCCATAACCCCCAGCAACCGCACATTGATGTTTCACTCTCTCTATCTCCCTCCCTTCTCTCTCTAAAAATAAATAAATAAAATCTTAAAAAAAAAGATTTATGTGATATCCTTCATTTTGGTTTGGAATTCATATCAGTTTGTAAAGCATACATGGACCACAGCTTCAAACACCCACCCCCCTTTAGTCTGGCTACTGTTGCTACTTATTTGAGCAGATTTCAGTCAAAATGGGTGGCAGGCAGAGTGAGCATCCTGGTTTGTTGAGTTTGCTGAACGCTTTCCTCCAGCCCTGTGTGAGCGTGTGCCAGCATGTGTCAGAGACACTCCCCATTTTTCTTCCTTCCCCCCACCCTCATCAACAGAGGTAGAAATACTTCAAGTCTATCTTTATCCTAATCGCTGCTGCTTGCCAAGCATTCTGTTGTTTGTTTTGGTGTTTTCCCCACCTGTTCAGGCAAAGTGGCATATGTACAGTGTGCCTTAAAAGAAAACAAAAAATGACACTTGCTTGAAATGTTTAAAGTTCAAAGTCTGTTTTGTGCTTGAACAAGGCCTAGAAACAACATGATATCACATCATCATTCTTGCTGCCTGATATCAGAAATAGCCAGGCAGCTTGCAGGACGGTTAGAATCCAAAGCAGACTTTTCCGTCGCTTTTCACCATATACTGTGAGTAAAATGTTATAAGGGACTCAGGTAAAGGATCTCAGGAATCAATTACTAATACATGTGTAGGGAAAATAGATACTTAATAACAGACACTTTACCTCTGTGCACAAAAACCTAGTCAAATCCTTAGTATTAGTTGTATTAATTGAATACCTACTAAGTACCAGGCACTATAAATAAATACTTCGTCCACATTAATCTTTTTAAATTTTCCTAGAAACTCTGTAAAACAGATAATATTGTTTCATTTTGTAGATGAAGAACCAGTGGTACAGGCATATTAAATAATTTTTTCTTAGTGACACAGCTATAAATGTTGGAGCTAAAATTTGAATTGACACCTGTTCCACTTCATATCTTTTTAAACATCTTGTCATTGTGTGGCATTCAGACTGCTGGCTCACCCAGTGGTTTTAAGTGACTGTAATTCCTAGACAAAGATTTTTAGGAAATTCCATTTTAATTTTATACCTTTCCCAGACAAACATTTTGGGGAAATTTCATTTTAATATTGTACCTTATGGAAGACACTTCTCCACCAAATTCCATCATTCTATTTATACTGAGTACATTTTATGAGTTTACACTCTTAACATAGTAATTTTAATACTCAGTTACTATTTAGTAAGAATTAGATACTTTCTTTTTGTTGTTGTTGCTTATTGTTAATACCCTGCCTGCTTTGAGAACATATTTCAGATAGCTTTCAGGCATGAAAACATACTTCTCAAACCAACACTCTGAAGAGAGAATGAAAGACCATGAGTCAAGACATGAAAGTGAGAGGCTAATTGCAGCCAAAACCTAGGCTGAAGGGCATTTCATTTTGCAGGCCTTTTAGCCAAGTCAAAAGAGAAAAGATGGTGGGCAACCTATCTTGTATTGATAGATAACTTGCCAAACAAGGAAAACAATATTGACTTATCCTACCAATGTTTTGAAAATTAATAATTTTGATAATCAGAACATTTATGGTAAAAATTATGATTTTGCTGTTCTTAATTTTACCACCTTTAATGTGTGATACAATTTTTAATTGTTGAATGCATGTAATATTATCATTTGCCTGGAAAATTTTGCAGGAAATAGCCCCAAACTTATCCTCTAAACATAAGTACAATAATTTCTGTATTTTCCTTTTTTCTTCTTCTTCAGGTAACAAATTTCTATCTATTTTTCCTACTTGTAAGCATAGTGGAAATGCCACATTGTTTCCCACTTTCAGTGATGGGTGATATGTCCTTTCCATGTTGCTATGAAGTCCTCATAATTATTATTTTACTGGTCACAAAATGTGTCATTAGATACATGCAGCATAATTTCAGTAATCATTTCTCTGTTGGTGGACAACTGAGGCACTTCTTACTTTATAGTACAGATAGCAATTATAATGAGTAATTACCTCAATTCTCAGTTTAATAATTTATAGCACATTTATTAAATTACCTTTTACTACAAAATTCTCATATACATAAAATAAGCTCTTCGGAGGCAGAAACAATGTATTTTTTCAATTTTCTTTTTCCAAAATATAGTAGCTTGGAAATATTAGATGCTTTATCAGCAACTTAATGGGTGAATAATAAATCATAGGTAATGTCTGTAACTTGAAAGTGGCTGGTGTGGATAGATGGTCTTTGATGTGCTACAGAGCTGGAAAGTGCATGGACAGCATTAGCCTTACACCTACCCTCACGAATTAAAATGTAAACTTCGTGATTAAAATAAGGATCCTAACAAGTACTTTGAGAAATCAGAACATTTTGATTTCTGGGGCTCCATTTCAGCCACAAAGCTATTTTCTTCTCCTCCTATGGCCTCCCCCTTCAACATCCCCCCTTTTTTATCCTGCCATTTGGATTTTCAAGCACTGGAGAGAAGTGATGTCTATCAATACTGTTCTCAATAAAAATCCATGCAGTAAACGTGAGATCCACCCATCTATGGGCAGAAAGGGACCCTTCTCTGGAACTGTGTGTAATTGTTGAATGCATCTGTGCACTCACTTAAAGCCCATCTGTACCCTGTTACCCAAACGTGTTCTCTCTTAGTGAAGTCAGGTGCTGGGAGCAGCCGGATGGGGCTTAGGCTATAGAAAACTACCTCTTTTAGACATTAGGAGTGATTTTTTTCAATCAGCACATAATTACTCAAGAGTATACTCATAGCAACTCTAATTTTTTAAAATCTACTATTTGGAACATTTTTCTGTAAAAACTAAAATATATATTAGTGTTGTCTTAGAATAATATTTTATATTATTTCAAATATTATATTGATATTTTTTCAGCAAGATAAAATCTGCACTATTTATGGGTTTTGTACTATAAAACTCTGCAGCCCAGTCACATGGCTTCTTTTTCCTAAGCCATCTGTCACAGAGGTCTGGAGTTTTATGTGAATATTGGTTGTGCATTCTTAACCCAAGTTTCTATTTTTTTATGAAAAATGTTAGCAACTATGGTATTCATCATTTTACTTTACATTGGTTATTAAACTTGATTACTATAGCTCTGTTTCATTGCTACAGTTACACATCAGCTATGAAGCCAATAATTGGTTTGACATGCTCCTGACAGAATGGACTGTTATATCATGGAGAGAGCACATGGCACTGATTTGGTTAATATCTTGGATTTTTGTAACTAAGGTTTATTAATGCTGGTATAAAAATGTATTTGATATTATACAGATGGCATAAGATGTAGTTACTAAGTTATTATCCCGGATAAGCTGTATGGTCAAATTCAGGGCTTAAAACTGTCACAGGAGATTAAACTATGTACTAAAAAGGACAGAAAGATATGGCCAAAGCATCTCAGTACAAACATATTAGAAGTGTATTTACCCACACAAATAAAATAAAGCATATCTATTTCATAGACTGAGAGACTGCAAATAGGGACTTTGCAGTTTAAACAAGCAAACAGAAGAGGTGCTTTTATTTTCTAAATCAGGAGCAAGCAGTGAGTGAGCAGTGAGCACAACTACTGTGGCCCACACCTCAGTGGCAGCTCTTGCGCAGGGGTGGGGTTGTTGGGGAGGTGAAGGCACAGTGTAAGTGGGGAGTTAAAATAAATCTCCTGGGAAGTAAGTGGTGACCACATGTGTTAGGGATCTTGCTAAGATATTCAAGGATGACTCCTGCTTTGCCAGTCTAAAGGGCAAAGTGTAGAGAAGTTGTCCAGACATTAAATGTGAATTGACAGATGATGGTGAAAATACCAGAAAGGTATTCATTTGACCTACTTAGGAAAATGACAAGCATGTTACCCCAAATTATGGGAGTTATTTGCCTCAAAATTTTCATAGTTTCTGAAGTCACAGAGACATCCTATGGCATGTAACCTAGAGAATATCCCGAACACATACACTGTTTGTTGGCACATGAACTTTAAAAGAAAAACAAACAAACAAACAAAAATCTTAGCTAAAGGTATCCCAAAAAGAAATGTGAGGAGATTAGTTTTAAGTCTTATACTAACTGTATGGAAAATAATCACCTATATTCTAAAGTTTTTTTTTAAATTACAGATCAGCTTTATTTCTAAACATTTTCTTTTCTTTTTTTAATATCTTGTTTATTTATTTTTAGAGAGGGAAGGGAGGGAGATAGAGAGAGAGAGAGAGAGAGAGAGAGAGAGAGAGAGAGAAACATCAATGTGCGGTTGCTGGGGGTTATGGCCTGTAACCCAGGCATGTACCCTGGCTGGGAATCGAACCTGCGACACTTTGGTTCGCAGCCCGCGCTCAGTCCACTGAGCTATGCCAGCCAGGGCTAACATTTTATTTTCTTTTTCTGCTTCCATACACTATAAATAGTGTATATTTTTTTAATTTAATTTTTTATTTTAATTGTTGTTCAAGTACAGTTTTCTGCCTTTTCCCCACTTTCTGAAGTTTTTTTGGTAGAACTTAAACCCTGTACAGTCATTCAGGCAGCTGCTACCCAAAGGCCCCCAGAGTGAATTATGGTTTGCACTCCTGCCATCCCCAAACTGCCTCCCACAATTTAACAAAGCTTTTATGGTCCAAGTAACCCAGGGTAAAATGTTACTTTTATATTCATTTAACATTGCAATAAAAATTCTCTTCCAGCTGGTTATTTTTGCATATTTCTCATGTTCGATTAATATTGTGATTTGGGGGCAGGGGGAAAATTGTTGTGCCTTTTTATAAAGTGAAGCATTAATGCTTTAAGCGAGGAATTGGGAGTGATAATCTGTAGACTAGGAAGAAAGATTTAAAGCTAAAACTTTAAAATATAAATCACAGGTTTAGCCATACAGTTAGTATTTGAAACATCTTACTTATATTAGGCTTACTTTGTTTAAACCCAGAAACATGAAGCTCATTAATGGGGTTGCTTTTAAAAGTCTGCCTAAGAATTGAACATTAACCAAAGCAAATTAGAAAGATTTAGACTAGGTTTAAAATCAGATACACTTACATAAAAGCTTGCATTTAAAATGATCTCTTAAAAGCCCACATGGCTAGGGTATAACTGCAAACTGCCTAAATGTTTTTCTCTTTCCTATGTATACCAGGGAGCCGAGATAGAAGTGGACGAAAATGGCACATTGGACTTAAGCATGAAAAAAAATCGAATCCTGGACAAAGCAGTACCCCTAACTTCCTCTAACACTTCTATTCCAACTCCTTCCTCTTCTCCATTCAAAACAAGCAGCATTTTGGTCAATGCAGCATTCTATCAGGCTCTCTGTGATCAAGAGAGCTGGGATGTTCCTATCAACTATAGCAAAACTCATGGGAAGACAGAGGAGGAGAAAGAGGTATTGTTTTAATATGTTAATAAGTTTAAGATAGCATCATTAAAGAGTATTATTAGCTTTTCTTCCTAAATTATTATTTTTTTGCATTCTTATTTAGATAATACATCATTCTATATCTTGTTTTAGATTTTGATAAAGTAATAATTTGAAATTCCAGAGGAAATTTATAAATGAATCCAACTTTTACTGTCACTTGCATAAAATAATCTGTTATTATTGTAAATTTTATCCCCATAATGGCTACAATTGTATGCAATGCACACAAGATTATATTATCCCTTTAGATATAGCTGCCTTTAGGGGACAATGTATCACTCAACAAGGAAATGCCAGCTAACAATTTTTTTCTGAAAGAGAAAATAGAAGATGAAATCAACAGGGACAAATAAGGATCATATCAAATTTATTTACTTGGTTTGTGAAGGAACTGTGTTAGCAAAATTGTGTACAGTCAGCCTTCTCTATCCAGTTTTCACATCCGCAGATTCAACAGCTGCAGGTTGAAAATACTCAGAAAAAAAATTATGTTGTTGCTTACATGTGCTATGTAGTTAAACCTACAATGATTGCCTGTATACCGAACATGTATGTTTTTTCCTTGTCATTATCCACTATACAATACAGTATCACAAGTATTTACATGGCATTTACATATTTAGGTATTATAAGTAATGTAGAGCTAATTTAAAGTATACAAGGGGATGTATGTAGGCTATATGCAAATAGAATTCCATTTTATATAAGGGATTTGGCCTCAATGGATTTTGTTATTCAAGAGGGTCCTGGAACCAATCCCCTGAAAACTCAGAGGCACAACTGTATAGGATCCTTGCTAAGGTGTTGGATCACAACTGCTGAATGACTAAATAGTCTCAATCCCAAAGTCAAGGAGATACATTTACATAGTTGGTTATCTTGGAGGTGGTTTTACTCCTGAAAGCCAGATGTTGTGACTGTGCAGAAATTCATGTAGCCTTCATCTCCATAGTTTGAGCCACCTGGCTTGGCCTGATTAGAATGACTTAGTGTCATTCAAAAAAATTCATGAACAGAGCCCTCTGTGGTTTAGACTCTATATCATTGCAAATGTGACCCTAATTATTACAGTAAGTGATTCTTTTTTTCTCTTTTTGTCAGGAAAATTATTGATACTTGCCACTTTACATGTTTAAAGAACTGAAATAGCCACCTTTTTCAGCCTTTTGAAGTTCAGAGACTTTGGGAAAAGAATAATTTGATTTCAGCATACGCTTTAACATCTCAGAGCATAAGTCAACATAAACAGTAGTGATCACAAGATTGTATTGTTTGCAGTTCCCCTCCCTCCCTCCCTCCCTCCCTTCCTTCCTTCCTTCCTTCTTTCCTTCATTTTTTTCTTCCTCTCTGGAGCACATGCTCACTGGCAGTAATCTCTACGTCCAGGCAGAATGGTAGTCCTCAGGATGCAGCACCACAGAGGACACTGTTCCACCACATGTGTACACAGTCTAGTAGAGGACTAACACATAACCAGTCACACTGATAAATAGAGCATGAGTGGGCACACAAAGTAGAAATGAGGGAATGGCCAACTCTATGTGGCATAGTTGAGGATAGGTTCCTGGACGAGTCCCCCCAGGACCCAAGGCCTGCTCTGTGTCACCAGCACACACACCATCACAAGAAGGAAGTAGAAAATTTCTACACCAGCAGCTTCTGATTGGAATCTGTCATGCTTGTCTTAGTGACTTTATTCTGCTTGGCCTTTAAAATTTTACCTAAAGTATTGAGGGATGGTCTTACTTAGTCTATCATAATCGTATTTTAGAAGAACTGTTTCTTAAAACATTATATTTTTGACTTTAATAAATATAAAACTGACACCTGAAGAATGTAAAAAGCTGCTTTACCTGAAGCGATGACCAAAAACCAACAAACGTGTACCTTCCCTCCATCACATGCTCCCTGCCGCTTCAGGCTTGTGTAAAAGAACAGACGTTATACCTTGCGGCTTTCATCTATTTTTATAACCCAGAAATCTGTTGATGTTCATATTAACTGATCCAGCACAATCATGATGAGATCAAGATTGTCGATTCCATCGTACTCCATTCAAGTCAGTTTTAGAAAAGGGAGGTAGGGTTGTTCGTCAATTCACAAGTCTGTTTAGTCTCCAGCCAGTCGATTGCTGATGGGATTGTGGTATGTCCCACTCCACCTCACTAATGGGATTCCTGATCTGAGTTACAAGATCTGTTGTTGGGAGTTCAGTAAAAGTCATATGTCACATGAAGCACAGTTCTTTGCAAAGTAAGCATAAAGGAATCCTTATTCTTGGATGAATCCTGCTAGGCTAAAGGATCTCAAGGCCATGTGCAGGGTGGGGCCTAGGTTTTCTGTCCTCATCCTTGTGATTGTGTTTTAAATGGGCCATAGTCAGTGTGCAGTCAGACATACTAGTGTAGTCCTGTGTTGTAATGAAGCAAATTTTGGATAAGTGGGTCTTGTGTTGTTTAACCCCAGTTATGATTCTGTGCCCCCAGCAGTAAGGTCAACATTTTACCCTTTATATTCTGAGAAACTCCTCCCATTTTGTGTCTAGTTAATATCTCAGGGAGCCCCCTGGCTACACTTCCTATCACTTGGTCAGAAAATGAGGTCTTATAACAAATATTTTATCTTTCCAATCTCATTTTTGCATAATTCCAAAAAAACACGGGGATTCACCTTGGCAGCTTTATGGATTTAACAGAAGTATGTTCTTATCTAAGGCTTATATATCTATCTATAACCATGTTTTATTTTCTGGCAAATTCATGGTGAGGGGAATGGACTTACTTAGTTTAGATTTCTGCTCTTTTCAGAATGGTTTACTTACTTCGGGTTTGATAGTACAACAGACTTTTACTGGGACAATTTGCAGCCTACCATATTTTGCTGTGTATAATGCACACTATTTTGCCCAAATGTTTGAGAGTAAAATGAAGATGTTCATTATACATGGGTAGTACCTGAAATACCTTGTATCTGTTCCTTTGTTTTGTATTATTTTTTACATAAAATTTCTTGTACCATATTATGTTAAAAAATAAATGCTAAAATTCCTTTATAATACAAGAAACAAGTGTCTAAATATAAATAAATAAAACATTGAATTAAAAAATTAAAATGAAAGATTTTTTTCTTGAAAGTTTGGGCCAAAAACATGGGTACACATTATACATAGCAAAATATGGTAAATAATCTAAAATCTGGAATTTAGAAGGTGTGTGCAAATTCAATGTCACTAAGAATAAGGAAAAATGAATTTGGAGATGCTAAGTGAGTTCTTGGAGTCAAAGTTCTGCCTGAAGTTTGAGTTGACACAATACTTTTTAGGCTTATTTATTGCCACAGTTACTGGACGTGGGTGAGTTGTGTCCATTCCCATGGGGAATGGGAACAGACATGAGTGCTTCTGCATCATTGTAACTCCCGAGTACATTTTCTCACCTTTTGTTCTTTGTTTCTTCATCTGTACTAAGGTAATCAACTAATAGAAGGTATTTTTTTATCCTGCTCTGAATCTTGAAAATGAGAAGTATGATATTTGATAGGTATTATTTTGGAAGAGTAAATTGCATTCAATGTCCTCGTGACAAAGTTATCAGAGTCATACCACATTTAGTAAAAACAAAGATGAGAAAGATTATTATCAAAAATTTTAGAGGAGAAAGTTGAGGCTCAAGGAGGTGAAGTTGTTCGTCCTTGGTCATGTAGAAATTAATGGACCTGGGCTTCCCTATAGCAAAGAAAAAGAAGAGAGAAAATAAAGAGAAACAGAGAAAAAAATATATACCAAAAATGGAGACAATTACAGAATATTGAAAAAATTAGAAAGAAAATTAAAAAAAAAAGAATAATGAAGAAACTGTATGTGGCAAAGTTAATGAAGACAACAGTGAACTATAGTACCTCTCAGGATAGCAGGATCTATATCTGCAAGATGTGACCATACAAATTAAAAACACTTGTCCTTCTTTGTCATTTTCAATGAGCTTCACTGCGTGGCTGCTCAGGGCCCAGGTAATATACTGAGGATTGGCTTGTGGCCTATTTCAGCTCCCACACCCCCATCCTTCCTATTGCCACCCCTACCACCTCCTCACCCCAACCCCACATGACTCACATACAGGTACACACACAACCCGAAATCGAACCATTATTTCTAATTCATTGTTATCTAGTTCGTATGTACAACAGTTGCTTAATTTGGGTGGTAATTTTCAGAAAATATTGTCTGTCTCTCTCAGTAAAATAGCCTGTCCAGATGCCCCCTAAAAAAAAACCCTAAATCTGGAAAAAACTCAAAATATCTCAAAAGGAAAGTACAGAGAAAAAACTAGGGCTGTCAGTTTCATTCAACTGTCAGTTCTCCAAAGATTTCAGGGCTTAAAATGTTAAAAGTGCCAGATGCTATTATCTGTTATTCATGTTACCATTATGTTCTGATCTTTACTGAAATCAATATAAACTTCATCTGTACATTGGAGGAATTTCACTGAACCCATGTACTCTCTAAAAACACACATACAGGCCACATTGTCTCTTATATACTCATAGGATAAAATTTTTTTCAAAATAATACTTTTGAAAATAATAATTTTTATAATATTTAATGGTACTTTATATTTTGAAAAAATCTTATAAATGATATTAACTTAGTTTTTACTAAGTCTTTAAGAATTTATCCAATATAAAATGCTGCTATAAAAAATGAAGAATTTTCTTGGCAATGGTCATCTGTATTTTAATACCCATGCTCTCTACAAGTGTTTTAGGGGCAATATGCTGAGCAATTATTTTATAATGCAATTGCATACATAAAAGTCCATAGTTTTTAATAGAAGTTAAAAAATACTTAAAAAGTCATAGCCAATAATGTAGTCTTATTAGATAATCACTACATGTTACTATATCAAATTAAATGATACAAATTCTGGAATATTATTTTGTATGCATTTTAGTCAAATAACAAACTCTCATAACCTATTTCTTTCAAAGTTTCTCATCCCCTCACTTTCTATAATGTACAGATTCAGTAGCCAGACAACAGCCAATGACCTTGACATATTTGTCTCTAAATTTACATGTCTTCTTAGAGATACTTGGTTCTCAATTCTCTTTATCATAAAAAATAATAAACTGCCTCTTTTTACTTTCTCCCATTTTTGTGAAAAAATCAACATCTAAACAGGAAAACAAAGACTATTTCACATTGGGACTTAATACTGGACTTAGCATTTATATCTACTTTCCCAAAACCAAGACATTTATGAGCATAAATAATAGTGGAAAATACTAGTTAGGCTTAATCCAGATAACACTAAATGGAATGGATGGTTATATTCTTACCTTTCAATGGGCCTTGTAATTAGGGATTGCTTCACTTTAGGCATTCATACTGTAAAACCTCAAAAGTATAAGCATCATTCATCTATTTTGCTTCAGATTCCAGTGCTATTTTAGTGAAAATAGCACTTCTCTTTGTATTTTGGTAGGCAAGTATTATTGCATACCCATTTCTCTTTATTTTTAAATGGCATGTTGTTATCTGCTACCATTTTCAAACATTTGTCAGTGAAATGGGAAACTTAGCATGGTAAATAATATAAAGAAAAAAAATTGTACCAAAACAGATTTTATTAATTTGGTCTGAAGATAATCTTACTTGAGATATTTTACCAATATATTTACATTGTATGGTCTTGTGTAAGTAATTGATTGAATTGTTATCCAAGTAATTAGTGAAAGAAATTGCATTTGCCTTTATAACTGAGATCAAGGTGTAGTATTATTTTTTTTAATTGGAAAAATTCAGAGATTTTGTTTTTCCTTTGTCTTTGAATGCAGACTCAGGTTATTAAAATAATTTTTTTTTCATCAAACTTTTATATTCACTTTATTTTAATGAAATTTGCCTTAAAAATTCAAAATAGTTTTATCACTTTATTTAGATCAGTACTTTTGAGTTTTCTGCATCAGTCTGAATTTAATATTAAATCCAGAAAATATCATATTTACCAGATGTAAACTAAATGATAAACTAATTATGTGCTTGAGAAAAACCATCATTAGTTTTCTGTAATATAATGTATCAGGTGGTAAATAAATATTTTGAAAGGATTAGTGAGACTTTCTTACAAAATCAAGATCAGTTTTAAGCTTCAAAGAAGGACATGAAAATCAGTGATAATCCAACACAAAATTCCATCCAATAAGTAAAAGCCAACCAATTTAGTGCAAAAAAGTAAATTAACAAAACTAAAAAGGGATGTAAGAATTAAAGCAATTATTTAGAAAAATCTAAATGCCTAAATACTATGAACTCAGTTATTATATATTCAAACAAATAATTTAAATCTTAATTATTTGTATATTAGAAGGAACATTCTGTTAAATTTACTTCTTTTTCCATTAAAAATTTTTGTGATTATTTTTGCAATATGTCTTCTGTTTTACTAATGACTGCTGGATATATAAAGAACTAGTCACAGGTTCTTTAGGAAATATTCATTATATAATAAAGCCTGAACTATATTAAAATATTAATTACTGGGCTCTATAAATGTCCCTGTAGTTAGGTATTTGCCAAAATGTTAAATTTTTAAAGCTATCTCCATGAATTATAATTTCTCATTTTTCACTGAGGATAAATGTACAAAACAATTGGGATATAGCCATATACACATTATTTATTTTATGTACAAATCCTATGAGGAATTTCAGCTGAGTTTTTAAGCCAAAACTCATATTTGACACTGATGTACATCTTCAAATACAGCTGTCTTGCCAGGATTCACTAATGCCTTCTGTGCTTCTGTATTTTTTTTTCTCCAGAAAGACCCAGTGAACTCTTCAGAAAATTTAGAGGAAAAGAAATTTCTTGGAGAGGCCTCCATACCAAGCCCTAAACCTAAGCTCCATGCAAGAGATCTCAAAAAAGAACTAATCACGTAAGTGATCAAAAATGGCATATTCTGTGAGATTCTGGAAATAAGACTCAAGGTCACAATTTTGAATAATAATGCCTTGGCTTATATAGTTGACTTTAGGAATGTTTTAGGGCAATTTCAACCATTTGATAGTTGAATGTTCTATATGTACCTAAACTTTTATGCAGAACTAAGAAGATTATGGAAAAAAGTATACTTGTCATGATCTTATGCTGAGAATTAAAAGTTTAATTGATTATAAAGCAATTAGAAATGTTTAGGTTTTCATTAGAAGTTCTTACTCTGAGATCCACTGACTCTAAAGGATCCAAGTCAGGGCTTCAGGTATATACAAACCTTTTCAAACTTAAAGCAGATCACTATTTGGGTAAGAGGTTTCATGGTGTTCATCACATCCTCAAAGTGTTCTGTGACTCAGAAGAATTTAAAGACCAGGGCACCTAATGGCAGTAAGCACTGGTTAAAACCACCACTGAGTTCTGAAACAGAGGGTCAGGACACTAAGCAGGACTGGGCTTGTGGTGCAGAAGGCCTTGAGCTGAGCCCTGAGAGCCAGCCAGACCTGGTAAGAGGAGCGTGCAGACACGAACTCCAGCAGGGTCAGGGCCCTGAAAAGAGTGGCCTGGTGGCAGATTTTAGCTGAACAAGCCACAAGGTGTTTGAGCAGAAAAGCAAACTAATTATATAGTATTTTGGAACAGCAGTGTGCAGAACTATGCTGAGACTGGATGCACTTGGCGACTGTGTGTAGTCAGGAAGATCATCTAAAATGTTGATGCAGAGATTCAGATGACGTGTTGAGGGAGAAAGTGTAGAAAGAAAAGGACAGAGTGGTCAGCATAGAACTGGAGGACACATTCTACTGGGACCCGAGAGGAGAAAAAGAATACAGAAATGAGTTTACTTAGAAGAGAAGAACTAAAGGAATAATTGTCATGGGAGCTAAATGATGAGAAAAAATCTGAAACTGGGTATTTGATATTATCAGATGCCACTAGAAGTACAAAGAGGTTAAATTGGAAAAGGCTGGACAAATCTTTTGAAAAGAGTCTCATAAAATAATGGAGGTCAGCCAGTAGGTGGCATGCAGAGGCAGGAAAGGAAAGTCAGAGAGGTGTGCGTGTGGGTACAGTGGAGGTGATGCCCCCAAATTACTGCAGCAGTAACAACTACGTCTAGGGACTTAGCCCAGCTCACACATCCTTATTGTTTTAGCCCTGAAGCTCTGATTATTGGTTGCTAGGATTTTAGAGTGTGATTCATACAACTTCCTTGCAGATATGAGTTTATCTGGGCCATTGCCCGGACAGGAGGCCTTCTTGAGTTCCTTCTGTACCTGAGCGTCCAGCTTCCCAGCCATTATGCAGTGAAGGTAGAGATAGCAGGGACTACATTAGTAGTGGGGAGTGGGGGAGGGGTAGAGGAGAGGAGGGTGGTTCAGGCAAAGATGAGTCAGGAATCTTAGCATTTTCCCATTTATATCTTCAGTGAGTATGTCATTCTGGTTGGGTTGTATTTTATGTCAGTGAATGAGTGAGTGAAATGCAAGAAATATTTTCCCTGTTTAAATGATTAAATATTAAAGTATATTCATACCCAAGTATACTTAAAGCTGCCCATTTCTGAAGGTTCCTAGCAAAGAGTAACCCTTCCACTTAGGTCCCATTGTGAGCACTCTCTCTTCTGTATCCTACATAAAAAATGTTTAAATTTTTCCAATAAAAGATATTTTAAACCCTCTCGTGGGCCAGCTACAACCCAACATCCTGTCTCCCCTTCCTTTTACAGCAAAACTCCTCAAGAAGATTGTTGCTACTGTGTGACTCATTTTCTCTCCTAAATCTTTCCCAGACAGGTTTTCATTCATTGCTCCACCAAAACCATCTTAAGTTCTCTAGGGAGCCCCTATATGGATGTTGGTTCTTAGTCCTCTTGGTCCTACTTGATGCAGCAGGATTTGATTGAGCCTATCACTTCCACTTCCTAATCACTTTCTACACTGAGCTTGTAGGACACTACATCTGGACTTTTTTCCCACCTCTCCTGTTACCCCTTCATAGACTCCTGTGCAACCTCTAAAGATGGGAATTCACCTCTGAGCTCAGTCCTGGAACCTCTTCTCTCCCCTATCTACACTCACTCCTCCAGGTTGTCAGGGTTTGAATCATCGCTACACTGAGGACTCCCAGGCTGGCAACAACAGTAGTGATGTGACCACCAGGACTCATTTCCAAAAGCTCACATGGGCAATGAGCTCTCCCCTTCCCCCAGGGCTCTCCCCCTCTACCAGCTACCCTCTTCTCTGTGCCTTTCCCCTAAGGCCTCAGGACCTTACAGTTTCTAGTTCCTCTGCCAAGAATGCTCTTCCCACAGATCTTTGCATGCTCTTTCCCCCTCCCTCAACTCTTATCTCAACTGTCGCTCAGCTGAGTGATATTCATGGCTAATGTAGTCCCCTTCCCCACCCCAGCCCTGATGCCCCCGTTTCCACATATTTTTTCCTTCAGCACTTATTACTAGCTAACATACATTTTGCTTCACCTGTATTTTCTTTTGCCTGTCTCCCCTAGTAGAATGGAGACTCCAGGAACACAAGGGTGATCTTCTTTTGTCCATTTTGTTATCTTCCATGTCCATCCTGTTGGTACATATTTACTGTGCTGCCTTATTTCCCTAACTACATGGATAGTGACTCAGAATCAGGGAGCACATCTCAATTGATATTGACAAGACAGGGTTATGGATTGTTGTTTCTGTAAATTACTTTGAATATCTTGAAAAATGTAAATTTTTCTTTTTAAGGTAGATTTTTGGAAATCGTCAGAATCATTCCAAAGTAAATGTAGTATGCAAGTTAATAACCTGCATTACTATTTGGGACAGAAAAAATCAAGTGTGCTTATTTTGTACTGGGTACTTCTTATTAGTGCAAAAGGAAATACAAATGAAGGATTCTAAAAAATTTTGAACAATTTTGAGAATATATTTATGAATTCTTAGAAAATTAACTCTCTAGAGCTTTCATGTTTCTCACCTCATTTTATAGACAGGTGAGTGCTTCACTGGATAGAAACTGCTTATACATATCTGCGTTGACATACTGGTTTTGTGAAAGTCTCACTACTTTACAGTTTCACCTTGTCCTTCTTATGTTTTGTTTCTAACACATAAACAAATGTAACTTAATTACTTCCTAAAAACTGTTTGGCTAAAATAGGAGTTTTTGATGTTGTTGATAAGCATAAATTTGCTTAGAGTTTAAATGCTACTTACTGAGGGAACTACCTAACTTCCTTTCTCTAATTTTGATATTTTCACTTGCAAACCTTCTCAGCATATTGGCAAATGTTATTGTGTATGATTTTTCATTGGAGATTTGTAATTAAAGCCAGCTCTCAGAATCAAAAACAGAAGCTTTTCCCGGTACAACATTGCCCCCAATTCTTTCTTTATTGACCTCTTTATACCACCAAACATAAAAAATTAATCAGTAGATAATTAAGTGTACACTTTATTATTATATTTACTAAGTAATTTATAGCTGACTGTCTTAAAAATGATTAACACTTCTTTACCTAACCTGGCAGTATTAATAGTAGTAATTTCAAAATAGAAATAAGAAATAAAATTAAGTAACTGCAATGCTGTCTTGAACACTAGATGGCAATGTGTTTACAAAGTGGGAATTCACAGAAAATTGGAAGGTATCTCCCACCCTCTGATATTCCATTTGTATAATATTCAGATAAAGATTGTTACTCTATTTGGTGGGTGAATGGTGCTTGCAAGATAACTCTGCACAAATGTTAATTATTTTTCATTTATTCTTTACTTGTTTACACATGTGGTTAGCTTCCACACTTTCCCTTCTGATATCCCATCTAGGAAAGTGATGGGGTAAGAGCTAGATCATTCTTCTTGGATCAAGCTCCGAAAAATCAAACTTCTCTCTGAGAGATGGAAATGTTCTAACTCTTACAGTTTCTTTAGGTTACCTGAAAATGATTGAAAGATAGGTCACAGGAAAAAAACCCTAGAAGGTAATGTTTCAGAAAATCTTGAATGTTGTTGATCTCCCCCTAAATGTCCCTTCAAAAGGATTAATTGTGCATTCTGCACATGTGGGTAAGCCTTCACTTTAGGCAGGATATCAGAAAAAACAGAAGCATGGATGATCTTCCTCTGACTATTAACACCACCACAAATAGTACCGAGTAGGCTGAGGTCGATCTGCTTACTCTAAATTAGCAATATTTGAGCAGCTTCAAAGAAAAATAAATAACTGGGATACTGAGGAACTTACTGACCATGGTTGTAAAACTGCACAGAATAATGATCCTGTTAGCTTATTTTAAAAACACATAGAAGATGCACAGAATGTGACCAGCTTCTGATATAAAGTGCACAGGCACAGACTCTGAGCTTTGGCAAGTGCCCTGATAGCCTATTGCTTAGGTTAACTGTCAATTAGCAACTCCCTTTGTTGGGTTCAAATCTGAATGAAACTGATCACAAGCTTTTTAACTAAACTTCTTCCTGTCAACAATTTTCTCATCTAAAATGTCAGTTTACATTTTTCTTATTTTTCAGATGGTTTCTAAAATGTTTATGAAGTTTCTATGTTGCCTGTCTCTTAAAAACTAACAAAAATTCCTTTCTGAAATTTGTTATATAATTGGTGATGGTGTTCCTAAGAGCCACTATCATAATCCATGTGCTTATAATGTTTATTTTAATAACATATTTTTGAAGAAATAAAATGTCATTGATTATTGACTCACAAGATCACTACAACATATATTTTAACATCACTTTCCTACATTATTTGAACCAGAAATTGGATGTGGTGCTGAGAGCTAATAAGACCATGCCAGTCTTCTTTTAGTCTACTCATTCTTCTGTAATGTAGATCTTTAGTTTACGAGCTTCTACATGTCCTATACTGTGTTAGCTGACCTTGAAAAGAGAAGCAACCTTGTGGCAAATCAGACAGAACAAATGAATCCATAAAATGTATTTGACTCTAATTACATTTTGTCTGTTGTTGTTGACCCAGCTGTCCAACACCAGGATGTGATGGAAGTGGCCATGTCACAGGAAACTATGCATCCCATCGCAGGTACCTAGTAACGTGGGGTGCAGTCAGGGTTTTATCTTGTTCTAATTTAAACACTTATTTTTGCCCATTCTGAAAGATATCTGGATCAGGAATTGGAGATTTAGTTAGTTGGGTTTTTGGTTTCTTTTGTGTTTCAGAAATAAAGCTAAGTTAAAGTTTTAGTCTTTTCTTGTATGTGGTACAGAAATTATTATTTTGGTCAAAAATAGTTTCCAGTCTTGTAGCCCAGATTACAAAGTTGGAGTTTGTGTCAGGCTTTTGGTTGTGTCTAGCTTTAGGACTCAAGTGAAGCTAAGGTAAGACAACAGAGTGACTGGGATCGGCCATTCACCCTGTGGATGTGGCATCCTCAGCCCTGGGCATATAACAAAGTCAAGGTGTTAGAAACATTAAACAGTGACAGAGGCTGTGTTTAACCTTCCCACTACCTTCTTCACTGACATGATTTGTTTTCCCTTTGGGTGCTGATTTAAACCTTTAAGCTACTATCCTTGGGTGATGCAATGGAAATGGACTCTTAGTCAGTAATGATTCTATTACTGAATTCTAGAATTAGAGAATCTCAGTGGGTTAAAGCCCTTCATTTGATAAATGGCAAACCCAAGTCATTTTGAGGGGCCCATTAGCTCAGACTTGCTAGAGTAACAAACCCAGATTCAAACTTTGTTATTTTTCTCCCAATCCTTAGTCACCAGTAAATTTAACATATGTTCACAAACTCAGGATGCCATTTGAGTCAGATTTGTATGTGTCAGTGTTGTATGTATTGTTTTTTTGTTTTTCTTATCCTTTTTCAGTGTTTCTGGATGTCCTTTAGCAGATAAGACTCTTAAATCCCTCATGGCTGCTAACTCTCAGGAGCTTAAGTAAGTGTGAGAAACGTGACCTCCTTGCCCTTGGTTCGCTGTGCTGGGGCTCTCCTCACTCAGAACCACAGTGATCGCTGACAAGTAGTAAACTGTCTCATCATAAGCAACATGCTCTGTCACCAAAAAATTCAAATGACTAAAACCAAATCACTGTAAGTTAATTAATTTGCTTGCTTTGGGAGGTTTGTTTTTTATAATTTTAAAGCAATGATGTAATACTTTAAAAATACCTTTTTTATGTTAACTACATAATTTATAATAATAAATTAGACCTATGAAGGTGTGGCAAACCATTTTTATCATTTAATTTTAAGAAAACTACATAATATTTTTCTTTATGAGCATTTTGAATCATATGACAGCCTTTTACATTTGGGTGCTAGACACATTAGGTTCATTTTTACCTAGTCTACAGAATCTCAAAGTCACATGTATATTAACTTTTACTTATTGATTTTACTTTTCCCACTCTTATCGTCTTCTACTCAAAATTTCTCACTTGTTTATTTTCATATATTGTTATATTACATGTAGAATAATTAAAAGTTATAATCTACCTTTTATTCTTTAAAAATATAGAGCATAAATTTTAAAATGATAAATAAATAATATTAAACAAAATTAATGAACTTTATTTGAAAATAATAATATTTTAGGAAGTGTTACCAAGTAAGTGTTACTAAGTCTAGTATAAAACAATATTTCTGTAAATAGTAGAATCAACGTTTGATATCTAAGTTACAGATAAAATTTCAAATATTACTTTTTTAATATTTTGTTAGTATTTCCATTTTTTAACTTGTTTAAGAATTTTATCTAAAAATTACAGAAAATAAGTTTGTGAAAGAATATGAGATATTAAAGACATATAAAAATTCAGAATTTTAGTACCACAAACAGTAAAGGGAACTATGAACTATGCAAGCCTTCCCACTTTCAAAGTGTAAAGTTCATTGATTGTGTCAGTGTATGATGCAGACTCCAGCCAGCAGTGTCTGGGGTGTTATGGATGCAGCAAACAAAATCACATGGACTGAAGAAATCCTGCGGAGAAAAGGGACAGCATGGCCACTCTCTGAGTGAGAGAGTGCTCCACCATTGCCTGGACAGACTTTTATTGTTTTCTGGGAGGATTACCTCAAGTCCTCATTCATCATTGTTACACAGTAATGATCAAACAATAAATAACATGTAAAGAACTATGAGGCTTATTCTGAGTCAAGGTCACTTAGCTGAAGGACCATAAAACTTTGGGAAACAAACTCACTTCATGCTTGGACCCTTATCAGAAAGTTGAGGACATTCTTAGCAAAGCAAGTTTCACAGGACTTTATGTATTCTTTCTCAGGCCTGATCAACTCAGGGAACCTCCTGTTCCTGCCCATGGCTATACCACCCTCCAGCATTGTTTCAAGCTTAAGTCAGGTGGGAAAAGTAAGGCAACCAAAAGATTAGGAGACTTCTTGCAGACAGAATGAGGACTCGGGCTATGTCAAAGCCAAAGAGTGAGGGTTCATCACCCCCTTTTTCTCTAGTTCCCCAAGTCCTTCTCTGAGGGTCCCTTCATGACTGTGCTTATCTTAGGTTGTTGGCTAATGGTGTGCCTGTCATTGGCTAACCAGTCATCCACCCAGGGTCAAACAGGGTGAGGTAAAAGGGAGTAGAGGCAGCACCCCTACCAGGAAGATAAGCTTTGTTTCCTTAGTGGCTTATGGTCCCAAGGTCTCTTTACTCAGCCTTAGCCATGGAGGGTTACAGCTTTTGAAACCAGGCAGGACAGTTCCCAACAAGTGTAGACTCTGGAAATTGTTTTATTGATTGCTGCTTTTCCAGATGAAATATCATAATGCTAAGTAAAGATTAATAATTAACAGATTGAAAAAAAGAGAAGAGCTATGCATACTTACTCATTTTTACTTAATCTTAGTCAGTAGTTACTCATTTAATCTTACAGAATTGCCTAAACTTCTACACTGCCATGCCTTCATAATAATTATCAGTTTGCTTTAATATATTCTCTAAATATTATTTCTAAAGGAAAAGTATTGACAGTAAATATAAAACATTTGATAGGTCCTATAAAAATCTCAAGTATTTATGTTTCATGTAGTCATCTAATAAGTCACAGCTTTGGTTCTTTCCCATTCATAGAAGATAAAGAGGCATTTCATTGACCACTTCCTTAGAGACTCAAGGAGAATTCCAAAACAAGGCTCCTTGACACAGATTTTTCCATAATTGCAATATACTAGTAAACCACTATTTTACAAAATATTAATAGAACAAGTATAGCATTCAAGCCTTTCCTACAATCTAGAAAACATATTATATCTGAAAATGGTTGATTAAAGACTCAATGCATAAATATGATTTCAGTCATGTGTAGGATATAAGATTGAAAGTAACAAATGAACAAACAAGACAAATAAAAATTTGTAGACACAGACAACAGTATGGTGGCTACCAGAGGAAGAGGGGGATAGGAAAGGGAGAGGGGTCAAATGTATGGTAACAGGAAGATTTGATTTTAGGTGGTAAACATGCAACACAATATACAGATGATGTATTACAGAACTATACATTGAAACCTATATAATTTCATTAATCAAGGTCATCCCAATAAATTTAATTTAAACATTAAAAAAATAAAAGACTCAATGAAGGTTTCTCTAGCTTAAAGAGATGTTTGCTGATTTTATATCTAATTAGAAAAAAGTATTTACTCCTATTTTTTTGCCTGAGGATTGAATATAAAAGCATTAGCATGAAAGTTCAGTGGGTTAGAGTTCAAGAAAAATGAAAGTATTCACATTTTAATTTAGGTTATTTTTCTCAAACTCTTATTTGGGTGAAATCTGAACCTAGGTGAGTGTACAAGTAAATAATAACAGAGATAATTTTTACAAGAATATTCAGAAAAGCAAGCATTTTATGGTAGTCTCTGTGTATATATTAGGATTTAAGATTTTTAAAAAAACAACACAAGGGAGAGAAGCTGTGTAAATTGTTGTATTCAAGTATATTTTGAAATCCATTCCTAATTAGCATTCCAAGCAAAATTGGATTTTTTCTCCTTTTTCACCTTTTTTATTCCAAATTTAATGATTGTCAGTAGTAGCTGTTGCTAGATTTTCCAAAAGGCCACTTAGGTTGGGTCATGAGGTAGAACAGACCAGGTGCAAGTAACTTGGGTTCTTTGGCAACAGTACTGATGTGCCAAGTCTCTAGAATTCACATACACCACTGTTGTTCATCTGAATTTAATGGATTATTATGGTAATGGGACATGTTAAAGAAAATAAATTATGCTCAGAAACAATTTGGAAAACTTTTTTTTCTTCAGTGAAAGATAAGAATTTTACATGGTGTAGACAGAAGCCCAGCAGTTGTGGGTCAAATTTCAGGTTTTTCTAAAATAAGATTTTAAAAAAGAAAGAAAAAAATAATGTAGGATAACTAATACATTTTCTGTCAAGCTTTACACAGGAGGTACATGTCTTAACAATATTTTTTAAATGGACTCTTAGCCAAAAACTACCTATATTTAAGTAAAACATGTCTCACCGAAAGCAACTCATTCTGTTTAGCTTTATTTGAATACGTTATGATCCCCCTTCCTCCACCACAACCATGTGGCCTATCTTCTGTTTCTGTGTTTTCCAGGTGTCCAACCCCAGGCTGTGATGGTTCAGGGCATGTGACTGGAAACTATGCTTCCCACAGAAGGTAGGATCGATCCCATTTCTGAGAAATGATATCAGAGTGTCAGCAGCAGTGGCCATGGAGATCACATGGTTTGGTTTTATTCTTTGTTGGGTACATATTTTAGTTTGTCCGGCTGCCCTCGTGCCAGGAAAGGTGGTGTTAAAATGACTGCTACGAAGGAAGAAAAAGAAGACCCTGAACTCAAGTAAGTGTGACAGTCGAGGCAGCAGCATGAGGGCCAGAAGTGGAATGTTGGTCAAGTGGGTGGGACCTTGGTTGGGGTGCAACTGAGCATTGATTGCATTTCAGGGAAGGTGATCCTATCAGACACAAAGACCTTGAACCCACAGTCAGTGTTTGGATATTTGAGAAAAATTTTCCATTCCTAGCTATGTTTTCACAGTTTTTTAGATAATGTAAAATTAAAAGGGGTGAGATCCAATATTTTTCCAATTGTTTTAAAGAAAAGTATCAGTGTAAGAGTACTACAGAATAACATATTGGCAGCATTTTCCCCTGAAACTTTTAATTTTGTTTAAGGTGAAATTTCATGTAAATTAAATTCCCTCCTCTGAGACACATGCTTCCTAGACTAGGATGATATATGCCAACATAGATGTAGAAATTTAAATTGTTTGCTCGACAACATTTCTAAGTACAATATTTAAGCACTTGGGAAACAATATTCCAGTTCTGTGAGCAATGTGCTATGTAACAATGTAGGGCAAGGTTGTTGACAGTTTACACACATGGTCTTTGCAGGCAGAAAAACAGGGCTTACCTGGTTGGCTAGGGCTAAAAGTGTGGGTGTGAACTTAACTCCACTTTTTGTAAAATGGATGGCAAGTCACCTAAGCTTTATAAGCCTCATTTTCCCCACCTAGAAGATGGGATAATAATACTCTCTACCCAGTAGATTTTCAGTGAAGATTACAGGGATTACCCAGAGCCTGTAGATCAGCATTACTGCCAGTACAATGCTGTTAGGCTAGTTGCAGTGCATCTTTTAAAACTCTATCATTTCACCATTTGCCTTTTGGGTAGTACGGAACCACCACTGCCTTCTTATTTACTCAGTTACTGCACATCATGTGAGTTCTTTAGTCTCCCAGCTGGTTGTATGTCTCTATTTTATCTCCTTAGATGTCCTGTGATAGGGTGTGATGGCCAAGGTCACATATCAGGTAAATACACATCCCATCGTACAGCTTCTGGCTGTCCCCTGGCTGCCAAGAGACAGAAGGAGAATCCTCTCAATGGGCCCCCCCTCTCCTGGAAACTGAACAAACAAGAACTACCACACTGTCCTTTGCCAGGCTGCAATGGGCTGGGCCATGTAAATAATGTTTTTGTCACCCACCGAAGGTAACATTTATTCTCTTTTTCTTGTGTTGTTTTTGTGATTATTTGTCACCTGGGTTGCTTTGTGGGTGGGTAGGGCCCTCCTTGAGGTCACAAATTATAGCTTTTCAGATTTGATAACAATGAGTCTTGCCAGATACATAGTTAACTAGTTCCAAGAATAAAAAAAAAAAATTCTCTATTTCTGAAAATTCACTATACAATCTTCAAGTGTTCTAAAAACTGTGTATTTATTTTTCATATTCTAAAGTGTTGCTTATGCTGCTATTTTTTAATGGTTCGGTCTTTTAATGGTTCACTTCAGTTCCAAGTGGTGATATCTACTCTGTTATGTTGTGTAATATGTAAGTCATTTTACATATCCATGCCATTCCCTTCCTCTCATGAACTGGCTCAATTTCAAGCTAAATTGTAGTTATTTTTTGCTTCTGGGAAGGTGTGACTCATCCCCAGCAGCCAGAAAGAAATTGATACTGTGTCTACAAAGTATACGATAGGATGAGATTTAGAAAATCCTTTATAGTTTAACAATGACTTAGTTCCTTTATCACTGGGTGTCACTTATTTCAAGAGTCCTTTGTGGTACAGTGATCTTAGTCCAGGTTTTTGGTTCACATTCTACCTAAAGGAAGGAGCCAGAAGATTCACTGCACACACTTCTTCAGTCAGTGAGAGTGCTTCCAGCCTTGTGACCACTACATGGGATTTAATATCAAATGAAGCTTCAGTGAGCCCTGCTGCTTTGCTTATAAGAGAATGCAAATTGAGCAAAGCTGGGGTGTTTTGACATTTTGTCCCATCTCAAAGATACTCATCAATGGTATCAGAAAAATGAAACCTTACAGGAATCGCTGGTTTAAATGGATTTGCAGTGACACCTGCTTATGGAGAAAACCTGAACTTTTTAAGGGTTTATTGGTTTATAGTCATCAAATGCATAGTCATCTCCACAATAGTACAAATTTTAATCTTCATTCCATATTTAGAAACAACAGTTACAAATCCAGTGTGCCTAGTGTCACATATACTGCACAGAAGCTTCACTTTCTTATCACAGCTTCAGCAATATCCATGTTAACACTGATAATGAAATGTTACTGCTGTACTGTGGTGAGCATATTCCTCCTCAGTTAGCAACAACAGAGTTATCTTTAAAAAGCATGAAGGAACTTTAAATGATGACACCAAGGTGAAGTGAGGAGCCACAGGGATTCTCATAAACTGCAGGTGGACTAGTAGTAGGGAAAGCCACTTTAGGAAGCAAGCTGCCTTTTAGGAGTCATATCTAAAAAGAGCAGATGAACATGCCTGCTACCCAGCCACAGAGGTAGTAGGCTTATGCCCCAGAAAATCCTCCTCCACAGATGGGCTCAGAGATACACCTGATAATGTCTGTGGTAGCATTGCTCTACTAACCCGAATCAGAAAGGACCTACCTGCCCACTGGCAGTCGAGAGAGTAAATAAACAGTTCTGTGTACAGAGGCTGCTGCACAGTACTGAAAATGAAGTCCCAGCATGGGTGAATTTTAGAACACAATGCTGAGTGAAAAATAATTGCTGAAGAATATATGCAGTATGATTTTGTTTACAAAGGATTTAAAACATGTAACAAAATTACATTAAAAACATTAGGTAATTATTACCTAAATTTCAAGTTAATGGTTTTCCCTGGGGGACAAGAGACAGCAATTAATTAGGGGCTCAAGGAGCTTCATATATACTAATAAGGCATGCTCTGCATGTGAAGGGAAATGGTGTTTATTTTAAGAGTATTCTTTAAATTGCAAGCCTGTATTATTTATGTATATGTGCATATTATATGTCTCATAATATGAGAAAGAAAATGACTAGTTCAAAATATATAGACTGCAAGATTAATAACAAGATAGCACCTTCTAGGAGAAGGAAAGCGATCAAGAATTTAGACAAATGAATAACTCAGGTTTCACTGTTTCCACCGGGGATTCCTCTTACTGCTTATAAAATTTAAGAGGCTGAATTTAATTTGTGGGATTCCCTTTAACGTGGAATGCTTCCCTTAACTATCCATGTATAACTTAATGAAATAATATGGCAAAAAATCCTAGCCTCTTCTGGGCACATCTCAGGTGTTCCACACAGACCAGTCCCTTTCTTTTTCATAAAAATATATTAATGTGTGCATATATACCATAATTTGTTAAAGTAAAAAGACATACTGGAATAGCACATTCTAACCTACCACAGACTTTTACATATTATATATTTTGAACGTAAAATTACTGAGGTTGCTCAGGACTCTTTCCAATCACCAGCAATAGCTAACACCTACTCAGGGCTCTGCTCTAAGTAACTTTCATGGTTTGCTCCCTCAAACTTTGACAAAAACCTGCAAGCTACAGAGGTATTATAATTACCTTCTATGGACATATGCACAGTGATGTTCAGGGGCTGCCCCTGAAGGCAGCCCTGGGACACCAGATCCCTTTCATGAGTGCTGTATCCTCTGCATCCCTGTGTTTAATAAACCCTTCCATATGCCAGGCACACGTGCATACAGTTTCCCCAGCCATCGTCTAAGATAAGTTTTCTACTTTTTCCCATTTTAAGATTCAACAAAATAGGAATAATTACAAAACTGACCTTGTACAATGGTTAAGAAATATTTGACCCGTGGGTTACACCAGCATTATATTTACATACCAGTTGCTTTAAAACCTGGCTTTAAATCTTTACATTACAAACTTCCATTTACTAAAAGAGCAATCTGAAGATAAATATTTTAGTATTAAAATACCAAGACACACACACACACACACACACACACACACACACACACACACACATCATTGTAGATGTTTATAGCTTTAAAAGCAGAATTTCTGTGACTAATAGAACTGTGCTGTGTCATAACTTGTAACTTTCCAAGGTTTATTACTATATTGTAAACAGTGATGTCCACTACATAAGTTGTATTACTTGCCATTTTACTTTAACAAGGCAGATGAAGATACAGTTTAAAACTGCCTTGATAAGCCTTAATAGAATTGCAAATTTGGTCAAAACCATACAAGGCATATTTTTCTGGCCACAACGTTCTCATTTGCTCAGCCAGCAAGATGGAACCTCATGGAGGGCATCCTCAAAAGGAAAAGGAATTTTGAAGTGTTTTTCCACCTATTTTTTGAAATTTAGGATTTGTGTTATATCCTGGAAGAAATAGCTACATTCGAAGACATGAAATATCAAGCAGCATTTTTGAGACCAAAGTCTCCCTTTCATAATTTAACTATACTCTTTGGTTCTAAGTTATATAGTTGTGGACTCTTCATTCAGTTCCCATATGCCCAGTGTGTTACAACCAGACATTTACTGCTGGGTTGTCTGAATAAAGTAGACCCATTAGGAGACACAGTCCTCATGAGCTATAAATTTCCATTATTTTACAAATAGACTTATGGTAGTTCACTTTTAAAACTGAACTTACTGCCCTGGCTGCTGTGCAGTGAGTTAAATGCCAGACTGACAACCAAAGGGTCACTGGTTCAATTCCAGTCAGAGCACATGCCTAGGTTGCAGGCCAGGTCCCCAGTAGGGGGTGTTTGAGAGGCAACCACACATTGAGGTATCTCTCCCTCACTTTCTCCCTCTCTTCCCCTCTCTGAAAATAAATAAATAAAATCTTTTAAAAAACTTTAAAAAATGAAACTGAACTTACCAACAATAATTAGTCCTGTTCATGACCATTTTCTGAGAATGCAATATGTGACATAAAACAAGACAGACTTGTGCAAACGTTCCAGAAAAAAAAAATGAAGCCTAAATAGGCCACACTTTACAATGAGAAACTTCCAAAATAGAAAAATCAGGTACAAGTTTGATTCATGCTTTTCCATGATTTCTTTTCCTGTGTAAAATGTTATATAATTTATCAAATTTTGGTAAATTACATAACTTCCTTATGTATAATATTACATACCTATCTTTTATATTTTATGTAATCTTCACATATAAGAATTTGTAATTCTTTAAAAATATGCATCCATTCAGCAAACATTTACTTTGCTTCAGAAATATTTTTTATTGGCCAAGTGTCCTAAGCTTTGGATGGAAAATGATTGTTTTATACATGGATTATAATCAAATTTCTGTGCAAAAATATTATAAATGATGGTGATAATTTTTATTTTATTTAAAAATCATATCTCCAAAAACAAAAGAATACAATAAAATTACAAAATAGTTAATAGTTGCTAAAAATAACAAAATCATTTGATTATGCACTCTGGAAAACAAGTTCATTCAATGTCATTATTATATTGGTGAAATTTCCATAAAACTGATATATGTAAAAAAAGAAGCATTGGGGAAGAATGAAATTCAAGAACAGAGTATAAAAGCCACTGCAGGATACAGTTTCTGCAGTGATCGTATCTGAATATACTTACAGTGGTTCCTTTTATTTTTGTTTTTAAGGTAGATTTTTTAATGAAAAATAATGTTTTAAAAGTTAAAAAAATAGAAACGTTTTCATATCCAAACTACATAGGGAAGGGAGGTTTTTATTTTGGGTTTGTAATAATTTGAGTCATTCTGTACAGATAAGATTACACCATGTATAAAGACAGAAAGAACTAGATTCTGCTTTATTATTCATGGAATTTTGATGAATTTGGAACAATTCTTATTCATAATATATGTACAATTTCATGTTTATAGAAAATAAAGTAACCAGAACTAAAGGAAGGCACTTATATGAATGCAGAATGTTAAATACTTTAACAAAATTCATGAAATGATAATATCAGCAGTAGTTATTTGTATTTTGATTTAGGAAAAAACACCAGACATTTTACATTATTTCAGGGCCTTTTGCTTTTGCTTTAATAGATATTTACTTGTTACTTTTTACAAAGGGACTGCATTTGTAATGTAATTAGTAAGCAGGCAAACACACAAATAGTAAGTAGTAAATTTAATTTTTATAAGAGATAATATATGTTTCACACATAAGTATAATTTCTATTTTCACAGCTTATCTGGATGTCCTCTAAATGCACAAGCTATCAAAAAGGGCAAGGTCTCAGAAGAACTAATGACCATCAAACTCAAAGCCACTGGAGGTGAGAGCTCGTGGCCAGGGGGCACAATTCCTCCTGAGGTCCAGACTGCAGCTCCTCACGGGGTTGTGCACACCGCATTACACTCTCTGTGAACTGGAGTTTTAATATACAATAAGGAAGCTTTTCTCACATTTGAACTAAAACTATAACTTTATCTCAAAACAGTAGCTTTGTTTTTCCCTTACTTTTTAGTAAGGATCTCTAGCAGGGAGAATCAAGCAGAACTTTTGCCCCTTAGTCTTCAGAAGGACAATGTGCATGAGCACACATGTGTGCGTGCAGACATGAGAGTGTCTTTCCCATATAAGCCCTCTATCACAGGGCAAGAAACACAGTTTCTGGCTTCCACATTTGAATCCTTTGATTTTATTCTGTATTCAAAATGATAGTTAAATGGTGAATCTGGATGATTTAAATTCAGCCTCGATCTGTATTTCCCTACATGTTTTCCGTCAAACTCTGATCAATATTAATATATAGTTTCTGGGCTCTGTATTTGGATCCTTCAGTTTTCCTCTGATTCTCCAGAGCTTTTCTTAAGATTTTCTCATCAGCATGTGATGTTTTCCATCGAAAGCCATTTTAGAACATCTGAAAAAAACAATGGTAATGTAATTATTTTACTTTGTAGTATTTATTTGATGGTGTCTTTTGCACATGACTAGAATTGAGCTAGAGATTTTTTCCATTATAATTTTAGTTCTCTGAAAATATTCTTCAATCTTTTTAAAAAAGATATGCAGTATCCCAGGGAGGAAAGTACTCTTGGGCTTCCTGCTGGTTTACCTTGGAGGCCTCATCTACTTTAGACACGTTATTTGAAGTGCTCTCCCTCCATGGGCCTTGTGGTGGGGAATGAAAAGCTCTGGTCTTAGGGACAGGTCTGCTTCTACATTCTCTCCAAAATTCAGATGCTCAGTCAAAATTCTTTCTCTAGATACTTTGATCATTCCTTTAAAATACTCCCTACTCCTCAAATGCATCTTTGCACATTTTTACTGAAATTGGCACAATTAATATTAATTTGTACAACACCTTATTTTAAAAATATTTAAAGAGTGGAATGTGCAAAACTGAATTTAGAAAAAAGAAAGCTATTTAAAATTAATTTTTAAAATGACACACAAAAAAATCAAAGAAAGCAAGATGGGGCAAGCCTGAGGAAAATACAGTGAATATGTGAACGGAGTCATTTCACAGTGGGTCAAAAAGGATCTCAAATTGAACTTTCAGCTTTATAGAAGCCAAGGCAAAAGGAGAATATTATGGGAATTGGACTTTCAATAAATAAATTTAGAGCAAAACTCTTTCTGGAATTGAGTGCATGAAGAAATACTTCTTTTGTTAAGCATTTTTATTGATTATGCTATTACAGCTTTCCCAATTTTTCCTCCCTTATCCAATTTGTACCCTGACCCCAACCCTCCAGTATCCTCCTGCTTAGTTCATGTTCATTGGTTGTACATATAAGTTCTTTGAGTCCTCTGTTTCCTATACCATTTTTATCTTTCCCTGTCTATTTTATGCCTACTAATTATGCTTCTTCTTCCTTGTACCTTTTTCCCCCATCCTTCCCTTCCCCCTCCCCACTGACCTCCCTCTATGTAATGTACATTTTTCTGATTCTATTCCTGTTTTGGTTGTTTGCTTAGTTTTTGTTTTTGTTGTTTTTCTTTTCTTTTAGGTTCATTTGTTAATAGTTGTGAGTTTGTTGTCATTTTATTGTTCATATGTTTTATCTTCTATTTCTTAGATAAGTCCCTTTAACGTTTCAAATAATAAGGGCTTGTGATGATGAACTCCTTTAACTTGACCTTATCTGGGAAGCACTTTATCTGCCCCTCCATTCTAAATGAAAGCTTTGCTGGATAGAGTAATCTTAGATATAGGTCCTTGCCTTTCATGACTTCAAATACTTCTTTCCAGCCCCTTCTTGCCTATAAGATTTCTTTTGAGAAATCAGCTGATAGTCTTATGAACACTCCTTTGTAGGTAACTCTCTCCTTTCCTCTTGCTGCTTTTAGGCTTCTCTCTTTATCTTTAATCTTGGGTAACTTCATGATGATATGCCTTGGTGTGCTCCTCTTTGGGTCCAACTTCTTTGGGACTCTCTGGGCTTCCTGGACTTCCTGGAAGTCTATTTCCTTTGCCAGAGTAGGGGCGTTTTCCTTCATTATTTTTTCAAATAAGTTTTCAATTTCTTGCTCTTGTTCTTCTCCTTCTGGCACCCCTATAATTTGAATATTGGGATGTTTCATGTTGTCCCAGAGAATCCTCGGCCCCTCTTCATGTTTTTAGATTCTTGTTTCTTCATTCTGATACAATTGGATGTTTATTTCTTCCTTTTGTTCCAAATTGTTGCTTTGAATCCTGGTTTCCTTCTTGTCACTGTAGGTTCCCTCAGTATTTTGCTTTATTTCATTTTGGGTATCTTTTATTTGTTCTTTCACTTTTCGACCAAACTCAGTCAGTCCTGGTAATCAAAATGCTCACAGAAATACTTCTTATGAGTCTTCATTATGTGAACCAACAACACCCTATAGTAAATGCAGTCTAAACTGCAGGCTGTTCCTTAAAAAATAAGAAGAAAATAGTAAGCCAGCGACTTTACAGCATATTGCAATGAAGTTTTTATCAGGCCTGGTCCATTGCTCTGCTGGTCTGTCTGAACCTTCTGGTAGAAGGTCACAGAAACCTGGGAGCAGCCAGACTGAGCACTGATGTCCTTTATAAATCCAGCATCTTCACCTGAGCTTTCAAAGGATGTGGAGCAGCAGTGAGATGGGTGGAACATGCTAACAAGTGTCTGAAGTGCAGTTATTCTAGGTAGGTCAGGAAACCACAAAATTACACATTTTTATGATCTAAGGAGCTAGGGGCTGATACTCACATGAAGCTTGAAAAACTCTGATGACTTTTACATAAAGAAAAATCCACCTGAGCTAAAGGTTGGTGGTCAGTTGAGGGTCAAGGAAGAACAAAAGTCATTCAAAGTCTCCTCTAACACTGGTCCACCACCACAGCCCCCTCCCTTCAAACTTGGCAACAATAATTATTCTCTGCATGATTTATAAAGCAGGTGTAGCCCAACACTTCCTCAGTCATTAAACAAATTAAAATTTGCAGTAAAATATATGCTGTTTACCAGTTTAAATGTCTTAGTGTACTGTCTTAAGTTAAACTAGGAGCAGATCATCCATGCAGTTGCTTGAATTAGGTAACATGTTTGGAGATTACTCACAAACAAGTTAAAACATGGATGTCTATACAAAACAAATTACATTAATTTTAGAAGAATTGATCTTCTGATCTCCATCCTTACCATAATTAATTTGTCATACTCATTTTTAAAGACCATTACTAGTCCTTGATAACAAAATTAGATCATTTGTGCATGAATGAATGGCTACCTTTCTAGTCTTTGTGGGGACAAGTAAAAGTTAGGATGGTTGACTCACATATGCTCCTGTATTCAGTATCCTTTCAGTTCTTTCCATGTAGTAAGATAGTATTTTCCAAATATTTAATACATCATTTCTTTCTGTATTAAATCTCTTCACCCTTTTAGTAACAAAAATAGTCAAATTTACATTAATTCATTTTCCCCTAAATAAAAGCAAGACTAAAATTTTAGTCTGTAAGCCAAATATAAAACTAAAGTTTCATCACCAAAATATAAGAGAAGTTTTAATAGAATAGTATTGTTTTATTTGTATAAGATAAAAAAATAACTACTTAAAGCCCCTTGCAAGTTGAGTACACCTGCTCAGTACAGATATATATATCACATACATTTATATGGAATATAAAAATATTATAAATCATACAATTCCTGATTACATGAATTAGATTAATATCAAGTAAAAGTTAGAATCATTGAATTAAAAGAAAGCATATTCTCCTGATTTCAAACAGGTATACTATATAAATAAACAAGGCCATTGAATAGTTCACTAAAATATTTACTGCAAAATTTATATAGTTTCCTTGATCAGCAATACCTACCTAGTCTAGCATTCTATTGTAAGTATATCTTTAAAAGAACATCAGTGCACACATTCTACCAATACTTTCAAATCATTATCTGTGAATAAAGGTAGCATTATAATGGGTAAAGAGAACATATTCCAGAACCAGAAATCTTGTGTTTTGAATCTGAGTTCTACTAGCTTACCTCTTTGTGCCTTGGTTTTTCCATCCATAGAATGAGGTAATAAGTGTATTAACCTCATGGGATCCTTAAGAGAATCAAATGAGTTAATATAATACTTATAAGTACAGTGTGAAATTCAAAATTGGTGTCATCCTCTCAACTTCATTCAACTGTGAAGGCTCTTAAAGAGTATATGGATGGAGAGGAGTATCTCAGGGGAGATAGATAAGGTAATGTACTCATGGAAAAAATTACAAAAAGATTGGCTGACTCCTGTAACTAAAATATTTCCCCAAATCCCAGAAATAATGAAAACATAGTTCACTCATTTGTAATTTCATGAGAATTTAAGGAGTGTCTATTATGTATAAGATTCCATCATTGTGGGTTGTTTTTTTTTAAGGTCTTTCCACATAGGGAGATTTTTTTTTTGTTCTTGTGTCATTATTTATTTTTCACATTTTTTAAAGATTTTATTTTTTATTTTTAGAGAGGGAAAGGAGGGAGATAGAGAGAGAGAGAAACATCAATGTACGGTTGCTGGGGGCCGTGGCCTGCAACCCAGGCATGTGCCCTGACTGGGAATCTAACCTGCAATGCTTTGGTTCGCAGCCTGTGCTCAATCCACTGAGCTACACCAGCCAAGACTATTTTTCACACTTTTTATTTTTGTTCAAGTACAGTTATCTTCATTTTCTCCCCACCACTCTCCTCCATTCCAGCCATCCCCACTTCCCACCCTTGATCCTATCCCCCTTTGGTTTTGTCCAGACAGCATTATGCTAAGTGAAATAAGCCAGGAGGTGAAAGACAAATACCATATGATCTCACCTATAAGTGGGACCTAATCAACAAAACAAACAAGCAAGCCAAATAGAGCCAGAGACACTGAAATCAAGAACAAACTGACAGTAACCCATAGGGAGATTATTAAACATCTTCTAAATTCCTGCATTTGATTAAGAGGCTTGAGTGTCTTAACTAACATTAAATATAAGGGGAACATAATCCCAACTAGAACTCAATACCAAGAATCCAAATTCTCACCTAAAAGTCCTCTCACAAGCATCCATACTAAGCAAAAATTGAACCCTCCACTTTCCTGCTATGAGTTTCTATACCTGGAGTATTCCTCATCGCAGAAATATCACTAGCTTCCCAGCAGAAACAGGTAGTCATCTTTGATTCTTCCATTCTCTCTTCTCCTTCTTTGAATACATCACAAGTGTTGATAATTCTACTTGCAAGGTTTATCTTGAGTCCACTTCTGTTACTCCTACTTCCACTGCCATGGGGCAAGGAGATCATCAGATCCAGCCAGAACCCCAGCAATAACCTCCTAAGCAGTCTTCTGGCTTCTGCTCTGTATTCCCTTCAATCCACTCTCCACTCAAAAATCTGAGCTATGCTTTCAAAAAGTCAGCCAGGTCACATCTCTCCCTACTTAAAATTCCGCACTGGCTCTCATAGCACTTAAAATAATCCCAAACTCCTTGGGAGGTCCTCTTACTGTACCTTCACCCCTGAGGGCCTTCTTTCAAAAGTCCCAGGAATATCTCCTTCCCCATGCAGGCCTTGGTACTTTCTGCTTCTTCCACTTGGAACGTCCATCTCACCTACTAGCTTTTCATATGCCTGCCTCTTTCAAGTAAAGGCTCAGATTAAGTGATGGTTCTCCAGTGAGGCTCCTCATAAGCAGGGAGTGATGTGACCTGCTTGTTTCATTTAGAGTTCCTTATATTTTATGTATCTCCTTGCTTATTGTCTGCCTCACCAGGTATTGTGTATGAAAATGCCTTTTCTTGAAAAGGAAGCTGATTCCAAAGAGGCATAAAGGAGGAAAAAAAGTCAGTAATGTCAAATAAATATAGCAATAGAATTTTTCATTTGCTCAAATCAGAAAAATATTAAATGCTAACAGGACTCAAAATACTTGTTTAATTGAAAAATCCATGCTCCCTAAAGTTGTTGAAAACAAATGTTTTTTTTTTTTTTAATCCCTGGTGTCTAGAAAAAGATTCCTCTATCAGCAGCATATCAATAAAATGTGGCATTGAGAATGCAGTGCAATTGTCCAAACACCACAGGTCAGTGCAGAAAAAGCCCCATGCCCCAGGTAGTACCATTATTAAAGTCATGGGTAATTTTTTAATCTGTTCCCAATAACTGTGTCATACTGTTGACTCATATGCAAGTTGATTGAGGTACTAAAATTCTTAGATTTTAGTTGTGAATTTGCTTTTTTCTTTATTGATTTTTCAGAACCTAGAGTTAGAAATCTCTTCATTGGTTCATACATGGCCCAATTTTATTTAGGTAGTTAGTTTTAGTTATTTATAATAAAGGAGTAAGTACCTATAACAAAACAGCCACCTGTTTTATCATGCTGTATGTGAGTTTTCAAGGCTTACATTTTTTCTCTTGACACCATATTAAGAAGAGTTATCCTAATAACTCTTGTTTTTAGGAGGCTTGTTTTCAGGTTGTACTTCTGTGAACAGTATGCAATGTATATTTTGTTCATGCCTCCTATTGTACATTTGCAACGGTCTGTCTCAGGTATGTACCTACAACTGAAATTGCTGGGTCACAAAGTACGTGAAGTTCACCTGCATAGATAACAAACTGTGTTCCCAAGCAGTAACCTCAGGAAAGTATTAGAGCCTAGATCTCTTTCAAACAAATGTCAAGTCTCCCCAACCTCCTCATGATATCAATTTTATTAAATCTAAAGAGAAACTTTATATTTATCCCTCTTAATTTTCATCTGTTTGGTTTAGATTAATCACTATGGACTGTTGAGATTACCTTAAATAATTCTTCTGGCATCCTTAATATCAACTAACTTTCCCACCCTTTCAAAAAACCTTTAAAATATATTCATATTCCTCCTATAAAATAGTGATGGGAAAGTAACTCCTGATCCTTGAGAGCTTACTCTGTATTCAGAACTTTATATTTTATTGCATTAACTCCCACAACATAGATTGTATGTACAGACAAGGAAATGGAAGCACAAAGAAGTTTCCCAAGTTCAAGAACAAGAGTCAAGGCCAGCATTAAAACTCCAAAGCCCATGTTCCTTCTAGATTACATTTGCTCCTTCTTATCCAGGTCCTTTTAGAGAATTCACATTGTGTGCCCTTGAACTCTAACCCACCTACCAGCACACAACTGTACCTTCATAAGTTTATCAAGTCCCACTCAGTTAAGAAATGTATAATTAACCACCATAACTTATATCTTAACAGTTTGCAGCATTGCATATGAAAGATTGCATGCATTTTGGAATTCATTCTGAGCTCTGCCTCTTATTTGGACTTGGGCAGGTTATATCAACTCTGTCCATAATTAGCATGGCCCCACTAAGCTTAAGTCTCAGTGTCTTCACATGTGGAAAAGATGCAATGGAACATGACTCTAGGGTGCAGTAAAGTTTAAATGAGAAAAAGTTTACAAATATAAACATGTCCAGCAACACACCTGGAACATAATGGACAAATATTAAATGGTGGTACTTTTTATACTCCCTTTTTTTCTTACAAAGGATTTAAATCTTGCAACTCCTTTTACCTACTTTTTTAGAATCTTGAACATGGATTTGGATAAAAATTCAACATTTCAAACTAAAGTCTGATTTCCACTCCATAAACCAAAAACTCAATATAAAAAGTGATTGAGATTTGTCACAGTCTCATATTTTCAGTTTGAACTAAGATAGTCTGATTCTCTGTAGGTATAGAGAGTGATGAAGAAATAAGGCATTTGGATGAAGAAATAAAGGAACTGAATGAATCCAATCTGAAAATTGAAGCAGATATGATGAAACTTCAGACACAGGTAAAAAAATAAAAGGTAATTTTATGGTAATCATAATCTTTAGTGGAGGCAAAACATTAAACTGTTAAACCTTGTGATAACACACTGATATAATGAATATACTGATCATGTCTAGATTACATAATTATTGTAAATACATGTATAGTTTGGATAACCCGGGCCATCACTGAAGTCAAAAGTACTCATGTTTCTGTTCTGGGTGCATCAAAGGCTTTATAAGTAAATGTAACAGGTCATCCTGTAACTAGAGGACGTGGTGCTTTAGAAAAACTGTCATGAGAAGACATGATTACTTAATTTCGTTTAAAATTTAAGTAAAACAGCAACATTTTACATTCAGTTTTTCTACATCTCTGAATGTATCAGTTTTTGTTAGAAGCAGATCTTTTTGGAGATTTTCATGAACAGCTTCTTTACCAAAAATGCAAGCAATTTCTTAACTTGATAGTCTCCTTTGTAATGTCTGCCCCATCCCTGACTAAATTTATCTAAGTGGAAATTAAAAGTTTAGTCCAAGATTTTTTTGTATACTAATAATGACTCTATTGCAACAAGCACAGTATCTTTCTCCCTTCTCTTCTCTTCTGAAATGTAGGATTTTTAGAGCAATGTGATTACCGATTCACAGCAGCTTAAGACAGAAAGTTTTAGTCCATCTGAAACCCAGCTTTGGTTTCCTTACCCAGTGTTACCAAGGTCATGATCTTCCATTAACAATGACTGGGATCTACAAAAAGAGCTCAGGTTACAAACCATGCAAACTCCTCTGAAGAGCCATAGCAAAGACAGCAAAGGCCTCTGCCCTCATGGAGCTTAAAGCCTAGAAGGGAGAGGCAGACAATAACAAAAAAAAGTCATAAATGATAAATTGTTTGTATGAGAGAAAAGGGTGGAGAGAGGCAATCAGATTTTAATATAAAACAAGGTAGGCCTCAGAAAGAAGGAAACATTTTGGCAAAGACTTCAGGAATTGAGAGTGTTTGCCAAACAAGTATGGAGGGAGAGTGTTTTGAAGAGTAACAAATAGCAAATCCAAGAATCCTACATCTTGAGAAAGCCCAGAGTTTTTGAGAACTAGCAGAACAAGTGTGGCTATGGGTGAGTGATCTAGGGAATCGAAAGAAATGAGTCCCAGGAGTATCGCATAAATGTCTTCGGCCATTTTAAGGTCCTTGGTTTTTATCCTGAATGAATGCAGAACATTTTGGGGATTTTAGCCAAAGATTAACATGATCATATTTGACCTACATCTCACCTGCATTTTAAGAGACTTGCATAGGTAGCTGTGTTGAAGATGGATGAAAAGAATAGATTGCAGGGGGCAAAGCCACACTCAGTGCACCCCATGAGAAGGCAGTCATTCTGATGGCTAGGCCCTGGGGACAGCAGTGCAGGTGGGACAGTCACCCATTGTGAAAATTTTGAAGGAAGATCCCAGCAGATTTGAAGTGTGAGAGAAAGGGAGTAATAGGAATACCCTGAAGGCCTGAGCAACATTCTAGTTGCTGCCAGCTGGGGAGGAGGGGAGTGTATATGGAGGAGGTTTGGGAAACACACTGAGCTTGAGATATCCATTGTATAGCCATGTGGAGAGGTGGTGGAATCGGCAATTCACAGAAGTCTGGGCTAAAGATATAAATTTGGAAATGTGAGTCCAAACTTTAGAGCTGCTATTTGTGAAAAGAAGTTGCCAGATACACATTCCTTGGCATTTAGTTTCATCTGATGCCTTTCCTCCAGAGAGAAATCTTTGTACTCCTTCTAAACTCTACTTCTTATATTCTCAATTTATTTCCATTTCAGATCACATCTATGGAAAGCAATTTAAAGACAATAGAGGCAGAGAACAAACTTATAGAACAGAATAATGAAAGCCTGCTAAAGGAGCTGGCAGGTCTAAGCCAGGCTCTCATTTCAAGCCTTGCCGACATCCAGCTCCCACAGATGGTAAGTCCAAGGCCAGAAAGGGACTGCTCTATTCTGTGCTTGCGGTGCTAATGTGCAATGACCAACAGGGGTATGAGACAGAAGTGCCAAGCTCTGAGGGGACCTGTCAGCTGTCACCGAGGTATCATGCTTCATCATGCATGTCCTGCAATAACCTCCTTCATGCAGTAACCATTACCTCCTTTAGTGGGAACATGATACATACATACATTTAAATTACATGAAGGCCAAGGATTTTTGATACTGTAGAAGTCATTTAAAGATGAAGGTTTATTTGAAACTTGTTTTATAATGTAATGAAAGTTGGAGGCCAAAACTCCCTGGCTAAAGTTGTTTTCCCAAATACAAAGTTTACATGGCTTACAAAACCTGAAACCCAGCCACTTGCGTCATCCACCCAATTTAAGAACCAAAGAAAAAAAATTACCTCGGTGTTTTCTCTATACTAAGTGTGAAGAACATACTTAAGTCCATTTTATGTAAAATGAAAAGCGCAAAAGTGAGTAAGACACCCTTATTTCCAAAATGTAAACATGTATTTGAAGTATTTAAAATTCCTAGAAAATTCATTTCCTTTCCATGTTCATAAATATAATAAACACTTGAAAGAGGGCTGCATTGTTGAATGCTTTTAATTTCCTCACTGTGTACATTTTTAGAACAAGTTTTCTAAAGCTGTAAATTCTAAAATGAATGTTTTAAAGAATACATAGAATGTTTTAAGGAAGCTGCAATTTAATGAAGATATATGATTAGTTTCCTGAAAACAGCAAGTCTCTCAATTTACCCAACTTCCCAGCATGGAACCTTTGCCTTAACCAATTCCAAATGTGTCTCTTGGCAATAAAAAAAAAATAATGTAATAATATAAAACACAAAGGAAAATAAATGATTACTTTGCAGCCAGTATTGAGGTAATTATTGAACATTATTATAATATTATTTATTAATGTTTGTCAAATTTATATTTGTTAATATTTTTTTCCTTTACCAGTGCCACTAAAATAATCATTGCCATACAAGATAACTTGTACTTTGTGTAATTACCACATAAGGTACTCTAGTGGCGACTTTTAGGGCTGATGGCACTCAATTTTCACAAAAACACCAAAGACATTCTCACTCCACAGTTGAAGAGATAAAGGCTCAGAGAATCTACATAATTTGATCAAGGTTCCAAAGCTGTGACTCAGGCGGGCTGGAGTTACAGTGTGGATTTCGTTCACTCTGCCACCAGGGTCCTAGTCCCATTATGTGACTCCAAGAAACATCTCACACCACAAAGGCAGAATCTAAAAGGAACAGAAAACCATAGTTAGACAACACTAGTAATTTAGAGCAGTACTTTGCTGAGTAAAAGAAAATAATCTTCAAATTTAGGAAGCTTATCTTATAAATAGCAACAACAATAATAATATCCTTTATATCTAAAGTGTTTCAACCTTTTAAAAGTCTTTTCTTCTAATCATCTTGTGAAATAAGTAAGGCACACATCATATGTTTTTAAATATGGGGAAATGGAGGCACCAAAGAATGGTTGGGTAGCATTGCTTCATGTCATTTATTTCTTTTCATATAGCATGCAATTTCTACACATCAACTGTCTGCTCTTTCTGAAGCACCACATTAGGCAAAGGAGTTTCCAAAACACACACACATAAAATAAGGGATGAGCAGACCCTGGGTTTGTGGGCCTCACATTCTACCTGGAAAGACAGGTAGAGAAGTAAAATATATTACAGTGATGCCACAAGGGGAAAGTGCACAGTGAAGTGGCTGAGAATAAAAGGGGAACATTTTCCACCAGACAATTGGTCAGTGAGCAGCTTGCTCAAATCTCAGATTTCATAATCCAACCCAGTGCTGTCAAAACAAGCATCTGGTACAAAAAAAGCCTCCTCCCTTCTGCTCCTCAGCCTTGCTGACTTCACAAATTGGATGTCTGTTTTATGCTGAGCACATGCAACTGAAGCCGAGAAGTAAGGCAGCTTTGAGGGGTCCTACTCAGCTGCCAGACAGCTACTTCATGTGGCTCCAAACTGACTGTAGAATACTGGACATTCACATTAATCCCACCAATTGAGTAAAGAACAAGCAGATGAATCTCTTAACACACACTTAGTCTCTGTCCATTTCCCCAAACTCCACAGCCACGTACATCCTTACCTTCCTTCCCAGACTCCAGTGTCACTGGCATGCTTCCATGTGGTTTGGTCCTCCTTTTGCCTCAGCCTGAATCCCTGTGATTGGTTCAATGTGTTTTGTCTTCATTTAGGGGCCTATCAGTGAGCAGAATTTTGAAGCATATGTAAATACACTCACAGACATGTACAGCAATCTGGAACGGGACTATTCCCCGGAATGCAAAGCTCTGCTAGAAAGTATCAAACAGGCAGTGAAGGGCATCCACGTGTAGGACTGCAGCACCGCGGGGCAACAGAAATCACCAACAGCATCCTGGGCTCTAAGGCATGCAGGTTGCCGTACTGCATTTACAATTGCAACATTGCACTAATTTCCCCCCCTCCCCACAGCTGTCATAAAAAGGAAAGAAAAACTATGATAGACTCTTTGAATTAAAAACAATGCTGTCAAATATATTTTATTTATTTTCATATGTTTTTCTTTTTTCTTCATTGCACTCTTTTGAATTTTTCTTTGTAAAGTATATGTAAATTAATGTGACATTTTATATTTTATTTATTTCTAATCAAAGAGTTTTTTATCTTTTAACTGCATTTTGAAGTCTGCCATATTTTTACAAGTATTTGTTAATTTTCCAATAGAATTTAAATAGAAATGCTATTCTCAAATCACATATCTTGCTGGGTTTAAATGAGAAAAAATAGTAGAAGGAAATCCTTGTCTAAGGACTGGACTAGGCTCCAGTTTGATTTTTATTGCACAGCCCCTCTCCCCCCTCCTCCACCTCTCTCACTGGCTTTGTATTTATAAATGGGCTTATGGTAAGGTGAGGTGCATGGAAGGAAAAAGAAGATAAATGGCGCCCACTAGTGGGCAATGCACTCTCACAGAAGCACAGGTACTGGAAAAGCCTGTTCAGAATTTGTTTGTGATAATTAAATATAGCAATCAGCAAAGTATTTGACTTGGCTGTATGGTTATGGTTAACATGAATTATTTATTTGAAATGTTTTAAAGAAGCATAAACATTTTTTAGTGATGCAGACTTGTCTGTTTGTTTTTCAAGTCATATCAAATAGTTGGCAACTCTTACCCCAAGATGAGAAATAAGACTTGATGTGACCAGCCAGGCTTTCCTGCCATATGTTGGTACAATATCCAAGTGACAATATTAATGTAGATTTGTACTTAGCAAATAAAAACACATCCAAATGGAAATTTTGTAGATACCATATCCCCTGAAATAGCATTTATCTTACTTGGTTGACTGGAAAAGAATAGAAAATATAGTAACACATGAAAAAATGTTACTCTGATCTAAGTAATTACCTTGAACACTGGTGACATTGCCTCACCATCTTTAGGCAACAGTAAAACTTTCAATTTGATTAAAATCTTTCTGTCGAACTACAAGTGCTACAAAGTATATACACTCAACACACAAGCACACACACTCACATACACTCACATATTCATAAAATTGAGCCCAAGATCTTGAATTTCTGGATGAATCAGAGTTTAGTAGTTGCTATTAGTAAAGGCAATGTCTATTTCAGGGACTGTAAAGTAGTTAAGCATTGTTTCAAAAGTTTTTTTATATTTATTTTTTTTAAGAAAAGGTATAGACAACCAGCTAAACTGCCTTTTTGGTGTGCACACACACCTCGTGTGCAATGTGCCTCCGTGTAAATGGACACTTGAACTTAGTGTGGGCTTAATTTTCTGTTCTATAACAAAAGTGTTTATTTTTTATTAGCCTTATGGATATGTAGATTGAATTTGATGGCACTCACAGGCTTGATATATTTATTCCACTGCTATTACTGTTACCTGCACAAATTAAAAGTAATATCAACAGTAATTCCACTTTCATGCCATTGTGGTCATTGTCACGTATTAAGTGGGGCTTATCTTTGGTTCGGGGTTCATTTGAACTCTTGAATCTTAGTTTAGTGAAAATGAGATGTCTGTTCTTAGGTAGGAATGGTGTTTATTTAAAAATCAATTTAAAAAGAAAAAGAGCTACCGTATGTGCTGTCTATTATAAATGGGACACCAAACAAAATTTCCTATTAAAGTTATGTACTTGCAGACATTTTGCTATACAGTACTTGATAGATACATACAAATGAGTTCACTTATTACAAAGTTTAATTTGCTAAATATTTTAACATTTGTTATATATTTTATTTAATTTAAAAGAAATCTCTTACCAACCTATGTATTTATTACTATAATTTACTATGACTTCGGGTTAATTTATTTGTTTGCATAGTTTGAGCAGTATGTTTTGTGAAATACATTTATATTTATTTGCCTCCTTTGTACTTGATGTGTTTTGTAATGTGCACTGAGTTTTTTTCCTTTCAGCTCTGTTAATTGACACTGTAAATTGGGTCTTTTGTAAACAACAAAAGGGCAACAATGTATGCATATTTTTAATTTCAAGTAGTTTGTTTGTATACTGTTTCTTCAAACAATTAATATTTCTTACATCCAAGCAACAAAACTATGTTCAGTGCTGTACATTTGTTGTATGGTAGGAAATAAATGTTGATAACGAGTTTTGCTGTGATCTTCCTCAGGCTACTGTACAGAGACCGTTCTCACCATCCCGTGGAAAGCACTGCCCAGAGGAGCTCTGCGGTCAAGTACCCCTAAGCCCTTGAGCATCTCTGATGTGCCTTGTTTCTGTTAACCAGTCTGCTTGGCTTGTCCTTCCACTACATGTAGACAGGGTTTTTTCCCCATTGACAAGTCGTCACAGCCTTTGGTTGAGCACACATCTACAGAAAAGATGGGTGCCTGTAGTGTAAGATGCACCTTTGCCAGCACTAGCAGGAAATGCATCTGGGTCTAGTGAGCAATAAAATGCAGGCCTCCTGATTCAAAAATTGCTAGGGGCATATCTGTATATTCATACAAGTCCATTGAACTCAAATTTTAAAAAATAATGATTGATTCTTGATAGCACCTTCTTATGTGTTTTTCTCATCTAATATCAGTCATTTTAATTTAATTTTTCAGATTATGAAATAGGTCAGGCAGAGGGATCAAGAACTGTATAATATGGCTTATGTGTGGGATATAAACCAAAAACAACAACAAATGAACAAGCAAATAAAACAAGCACGTGGATGCAAATGACAGAATGGTGGTTACCAAAGGAAAGGGGATTTGGGGGAGGATGAAGAGGGTAAAGGTGACAGAGGGAGACTAGACTTCACGTGGTAAGCACACATACAGTATACAGATGTCATATTATAAAGCTGTACATGTGAAATCTATATAATGTTACTAACCAGTGTTACCCCATTACATTTAATTTAAAAAATTTCTGATTTCTGCTCAGATTTACACATCTTTAGGACTGGATGCCATTCATACTCAATGTGGCCAAACCCATATAATTCATGTTATGAAGCAACATCAGCTGAACAGAAGTCTGGGTCTCCAGAGGAGAGCAAGATACTTGAGTGGACCTTTATGTAACAGGGGTAGCACAAGGCAGTCAACTCACAATATAGCTTTGCTTCCGGTCACCAAATTTATTTGTATGACATGTGCAAATGATGCATCCTGTGAAATGGATCAAAAGATGCAATTCTGTTCAACCAGCTTCTTAGCTTACTCTTTGCAGAATACATGTATCTTGTGTTGACTGGGATTTTACATCAATGAGTAGTGTCTTCATTTCTATCACCCAACATGTCAGAAGAACAGTACCAGTTCCATTGGAAATCAGAAGAGAACGATGAGTAAGAAGCATACATTCATAAAACAGAAGATTAATATAAGAGTATTTATGCCAGGCCCACTTCCTGACTTCCATGTAAATTCAGCCTAGGGGGGACTGTGAAATGAGTGATGGGTATTATGACTGCAGTAAAAACGGGGTCCTGTGGAAACAGTGTAGAGGTTTACACAACTAACTCTGATTTCCTGGGGAAAGTGCCAGGTACTAATAAGCTGGACAAGTTGGAGGAAAGGCGTTGCAAGTAACAAAAACATCATGTGCAAAGTCATGGTCATGAGACAAATCCAAACACCCTAAGATAATCAAAATATTTTTTAAAAAAAGAAGAAGAAAAACTGGTGAGAAGAAAAGAGGTAAAAAGCCCAGGTAAGTGGGAGATCAGGTCATATTATAAACAGCCATGTTAAAGAGTTCTAATTTCTATAAGCAGACTTTAGAATACCAAAGAAAGATTTAAAATCAGAATTGTAGGATCAGATTTCCATTAGAGAACATTTATTCTAGCAATTCAAACAATTAATATTTCTTACGTCAAAGCAACAAGTGTGTTCAGTGATGTACCTTTATTGTATGGTAGGAAAAATTGATATTGAGTTCTGCTGTGATCTTGTTCAGGCTACTATATAGAAACTATTATCACTATCCCATGAAAGGTGTCAGAGCCTTAAGACACAAAACTAAAATACTTCTACTTGAACTAATGTCCTGATTGAAAAGGAGGGGTGAATGATTCTTTGTTTTGTCTCATGAAAAAAAGTTTTAAAATTAATTTCTTATGATACATAAATAATTTATTAATATTCATAAAACTGATGTTCCCTGTGTCTCTATACATTATGCCCATTTTATTGTGGTCTGGGAATATTACCCTGCTCTGCCTTTACATTACTCAGCAGATAATTCCAAAGTAAGCACATTTAATTGGCTAATAACTGTCTATATTGTTAGACATAATCAATGATGCCTTGTATACTTCATCTCATGAAATCCACAATTTATAAAGCAAATATCGCCATGCTCAATTGAACTGATGAGGAAACTGGTCCTCAGGAACATTACTAAGTTGCCCAAGACTACAAGACTCATAGATACAGGGAACAGACTGATGGTTGCCAGAGCGGGGGGAATGGGAGGCTGGGTGAAAAAGATGAAGGGGTTAAAAAGTATACAACTTGGTAATTACAAAACACTTACAGGGATATAAATTACAGCATAAGGAATATCATCAATAAGATTGTAATAACTGCTTGTATGTATGATACCATGTGGGTACTTGAAATATCAGGGTGGGGAACCACTTTGTAATTGTCTAGTCACTATGCTATACACCTGAAATTAATACAAATTATAATACTGAATGTAAACTATAATTGAAAAATAAAAACACTAGGAAAAGGTACAGCCAAGATTTGACCTGTTTTCATTATTTTTAAGGTCTAATCCAGGGAAATCTATCTAGTCACCTTTCAGATGCCATCTCACCTGTGATGCGTGGATCACCGGCCAGCAGTGATCACAGAATGCTGCGGATGGCTCGTTGAAAAACACGCGAGAAAAAAACATGCACAGAGACAGACTAGTTTCTGTGGAGAAGTAGGGAGAAAATGGCCACCCCCTCTAGTGGGGAGTACACCGATTTAC